TACACATCGCGGGGGTCAGGCTATTTATAGACAAGTCCGGACTTGGCAGCGAAGGGCGGCCAAGGGAGGGAAAAGTGGGCGATCGAGCAGGGCGAAGGGGGCGATGCACGAACGAGGGCCGAGAAGGACCACCGAGACAGGCAGAGAACCAAAGCGAGGGAGGCGCAAGCAAAAGCGAAGCACCTGGCAGGAGAAACGTGCAAAGGCGAAGCAATGTGACTCAACGTCCAAGAAGCGGATTGGTCAAGTATAAGGTTGGGGCAAATGCATGCGAGATGAACAAGAGATCGGGGCGGTCAGGCAGGTCATGAGTCACCGGTGGTGGGACACATGACCGGCAGCCGAATTGCAACCAATCGCAGCAAGGCGCGTGCACAAACAAACCGGCGCGTGCGAAGAAGACAAAGGAAGCGGAGCAGCGCGGGGAAACGGAAGTGCGGAAGGAGCGGAAATGGCAGGCAAAAGGCGGAAAATTGGAGGGGAACTGCAAAGCTACACACAAACAAACAGAAAGGCAAAAGAACAGCCAAGTGTGCAGTCAAAGTGGAGAACAAGCAGAAGCTATCCCTAACAGGTGCATACGGCGGTGGTTCTGCCCGGTGATGGTCGGCAAATCGTTTGTGTCGTTCTTGCGCCTCTGTCAAGACCTTTGTCAGACGCTGACGAACATCTTCAAGGAGCTTTGCGTGCCCCTCCGCGGCGGGATTGACCGTTGCTTGTGGCTGGAGGACTGAGAAACGAGGGTGCAAGCCATAATTAGCGTAGAATGGGGACACTCCTGTCGACTCGTGAGTTGCGTTGTTGTACGCAAACTCTGCAAGTGGCAGGAGTTCCAACCAGTCATCCTGCTGGTATGACACATAACAGCGGAGATACTGTTCCAGGATCTGGTTCACCCGCTCGGTTTGCCCGTTGGTCTGCGGGTGAAACGCAGATGAGAGATTGACCGTGGCACCGAGCAGTTCCATGAGTCGCCTCCAGAAGCGGGAGACAAATTGTGGGCCCCGGTCGGACACGATCGTGTCTGGCATCCCATGCAGTCGAGCAACCTCACGGATGAACAGCGAGGCGGCCTGTGGAGCAGTGGTTGTTTTGGTACATGGTACGAAGTGAGCCATCTTGGTCAGGCGACACACGACGACCATGACCGAGTCCATTCCCTTTGCTGGCGGTAGGTCCGTTATGAAGTCGACTGATGTTGAGCCCCAAGGCCGATTTGGGACTGGGAGTGGTACCAGGAGGCCACTTGGAGGGTGTCTTGGAGTCTTGGCCCGTGCACACGTATCACATGTGCGCACGTAATCGGCAACATCACGCTTCATTCCGGGCCATCTGTGGTCACGACTGAGCAGCTTGTACGTCTTGGAGATCCCGAAATGTCCTGCGAGCGGACTGTCGTGATACTGACGCAGTAACTCAAGCTGGCGTTCCGGGCTTGGGGGGTGGTGCTGGTCGTCCTGACTTGGGAGAGGGTCGGCATCTTCTGTACCATCCGGATGCGTATCGTCCAGGTCATTTGGGCAAGCGTGCGCATCCTCCTTGTCGAGGTCGCTCTCGTCGTCGTCGGCCTCGTCTTGATGGATGGCGCTGGCTAGGACTTGTTCGGGTCGTATGAGCGGCTGTTCGACCCGGGCGGAGCCTTCTCCCTCCTCAAAGCCATGCTCCGCCCTGCGAGACAAGGCGTCGGCCTTGGTGTGGAGCTTGCCAGGTCGGAAAGTAATGACAAAGTCAAAGTTTGCCAGGGTCATGGCCCATCGTGCTTGGCGTCCGTTGAGCGCCCGTGCGGTCATGAAATACTGCAGATTTCTGTGGTCGGTGTGGACCGTGACTCGATGTGCCGATCCGACCAGGAAGTGCCGCCATCTCTTGAATGCATCCACGATGGCGAGCAACTCCTTGTCATGCACATCGTAGCGACTCTCGTTGGGCAGCAGCTTTCGGGAGTGGAAGGCTACGGGGCGTAGCACATCCTCCCCGTCCGGCTGCGAGAGTACTGCTCCGATGGCAAAGTCGGACGCATCAGTCTCGACCACAAATGGGGCATCCATCCTGGGATGTGCAAGGACGGGTGCGGACGTAAAGGCTTGTTTGAGTGAGTCGAATGCATGCTGTGCCTTGGGTGTCCACGCAAAGGGGATGTCCTTGCGAGTAAGTTCGTTGAGCGGGATTGCCACGGAGGAGTATGCGTTGATGAATTGTCGGTAGAAATTTGCAAATCCCAGGAACCGTTGCACTCCCTTGACCAAGTGGGGAGGCTTCCATTCGATAACAGACTGGACTTTGGCCGGGTCCATGCTGATACAGCCTGTAGATACGACATAACCAAGGAATTCGACCTCTTGGCAATCGAAGTGACACTTTTCGAGCTTGCCGAAGAGCCCGTGGCTTCTGAGGCGAGAGAGGACTTCCCGGACGTGTTGATCGTGTGTCTTCTGTGATGGCGAGAACACCAAAATGTCATCCAAATAGACGACCACATAGGTGTCTAGGAGGTCACGGAACACATCGTTAAGGAAATGCTGAAACACGGCGGGTGCATTCGTGAGCCCAAAGGGCATCACTAAGTACTCGAAGAGGCCGAACGGGGTGCGGAAGGCTGTTTTCCATTCGTCGCCTGCACGGATGCGTACAAGGTTGTACGCACCGCGCAGGTCGATTTTCGAAAACACCTTTGCCCCGCTCAGGCGCTCGAGCAGTGCGGGAATCAGTGGAAGCGGATACCGGTTCCGAACTGTGATCTTGTTCAGGCTTCTGTAGTCAACACACAAGCGCAGTGTGCCGTCTTTCTTCCGAACGAATAGGACAGGGGAAGCCGCGGGAGACTTGGACGGGCGAATGAATCCCTTCGCAAGATTCTCGTCCAAGTACTCCCGTAGTGCTTTCGTTTCTTCCACCGACAGATTGTAAATGGGACCGAAAGGGGGGGACTTGTCGGGGACGAGGTCGATGCTGCAATCGTATGGGCGGTGGTCGGGCAGTCGGTCTGCCTTTCCCTTACTGAACACATCGGCAAAGTCACCGTACTTCTCCGGCAATGTAGCTGGAGGATTGCTTCCTCCAGTTGGGTGAGAGGCGGCAACAACGATGGGAGCCGTCGGGATATCGACGGTCCCGGCCGCCCAGTCGACTGTGGGATTGTGCTGGTGAAGCCAAGGCAAGCCAAGCACAACTGGCGCGTGCGGGCTGGGCATGAGGTCGAGCACGAGGGGCTGCTCGTGGCCGCCGACCGCAATCGTCAGCGGCTCGGTCTCTTCGGTGATCGTGGGAAGGGCGTGTCCGTCGATGCCTTCCGCAGCCAGTGGCTTGTCTTTGGTGTGGATGGCAAGTCCCACTTCCTTGGCAAACGTGGGATCGATCAAGCATGCGGAGCATCCGCTGTCGACCATGGCGAGCGTTGGGGCCACGAGGTCACCTTGTTGGAGCTGGATGGGGATAAGGAACAGCTTGGAGTCTTGGCGGCGTGCAATCATTGACAAAGCGGCAACCATATGCACGCAGTCGGGGTCGGGCGTGTCGCCACCACCATGCGGGGGGCATGTGGTGGGGGCGGTGTTGGCTGTGAGGGGCGTGCTGCCAGGTGGGGGAGCATGTGGGGGGACTGGGGCATGGGAAGTCTGCTTTGGGAAGTGGATGGGCAGGTTGCTGGACTCGAGGATGGGTGGGTGCATGAGGTAACGGAGGTCCACCTTGGCCCGAGGGCAAGTGGTAGCGGCGGTGGTCGAGGTGTTTGAGAGCGGCGCATGCTCTTGGACGGGTCGAATGGTCTGGGGCTGGGGGGCGGCCTGGAAGAACGAGGCGGGGCTGGGTTGCGGGATGGGTACGGGTCGGGGAGTTAGGGCAGGTTGGGCCTTGGGATGGGCGGTAGCAATTGGTCTTTGAGGTTTGGAAAAGACTTTATTGCTGACATTGTCGGTCAGCGCCAGAGCAGCGGCCCTTAGAGGCTCTGGCGCATGTCGTTTCCCGACTCGGTGTTGGTTCGGCGGTTGGGGCAGGCCTTGACAAAGTGTCCGGCCTCCCCGCAGTACAGGCAGAGATTATTGGCTCTGCGATGTCTGCGTTCGGCTTCGCGGGAGGCCGAACCGGAGCCGGGGACTTGAGCCACCAAGGGGTCGTCTTGGGCTTCCTTGAATCCTGCGGGTGGAGGCAGCTCGAGGTTGGGACGGCGAGGGCGGCGGTCCTCCTCGAGACGGCGCTGGTAGATGCGGGCGTCGAGGCGAGTCGCCACTTCGATGAGCTCTTCAAGCGTGGCAGGCAGCTCGCCTCGAATCGCGAGCATGTCTTTGACGTCGGTGTTGAGCCCGCGGTAAAACTGGGCGATCAGAGCCTGTTCGTCCCAGTGGATCTCCGCTTGGAGGAGCTGGAACTCAGAGGCGAAGATCGCAACAGACCGCTTGCCTTGGGTGAGGCGCATGATAGCGCCTTCAGACCGGACGACGGAGTGCGGGTCGCCAAAACGAGCTTCGAGCTGGCGAACGAAGGTGGCAAAATCTTGGATGGCGGGGCTCTCCGTTGCAACGAGGCTGGCGAACCAGTCTGCGGGTGGTCCGGCGAGCAATGTGCCCACAAGGCCCACCCGGTGACGGTCCGTGGGGTAGCGGGCCTCGTGGATGGACAGGATGATCTTGACTTGGGTCAGGAAGGAACGGAAGCGACGACGGTTGCCGTCAAATGGGTCAGGGAGGCGGAGAGGAGCGTCGGCCATGGCAGGCAGGGTAAGAAGAGGAATCAAATGTCACGGACGGGCAGGGCTGGAGAGGACGGAACGGCGGGCGAGGCTCGAGCGAAGGCAGGACGGAAGCGAGGCGACGGCAGGGCGGAAGCAGGACGGGATCGGGGGGACGGGGACTGGAGACGGTCGTTTATTTGGCGAACGACGCAGGGCAAGGCGGAGAATACAGGTGATTCCTCTTGCTGGGCCTCTCGGGCGACGGGGATGGCGCCTTTATATAGTTTGGGCCCAGCAAGAGTCGGTGCGGGGAACCGGGTCGAGGTTCTCACGCTGCGTCGCTCAGTCTGCGTGCACGCGCTATGTGACGAACACGCCGGTTCGTCACAAGCGCTGGCCGCACTCCTTAATCTTGGCCGGGTTGTCAGGGCTCATCATGTTGTTCTTGCACACGATGTCGTGGTCGTCTTGGTCGAGGTGCCATGAGGCCTGCTTCCTGTCTGCACAGCGTGAGCAGCGGACCCTGTGGCCTCGGAGTGCAAAGACCAAGCGGAATCGACGGTAAGTGATCTCGTCGAAGGTGAGTGACATGTAGTCGGCCTCACAGGCTTCGCCCCTTTCTTCCTTGGCTGCAATTTCGATGGCCCAGTTCTTCTCGGCCTCGACATCGGGAGGGTTGGGGTACATTTCGGAGTCTCCGTAGAGCTCCTCGATCGTTGTTTCGATCGGCTTCTGGCCACTGGGGACTATGGGCTGGGAGACTTCTTGGCCATCGCCTCTGCGTTTCTTGGGCGTGGTGTAGGAGATGGTATCTCCGACGCTGTGCTGCGCGTACTGCGCGTACTGCGCGGCGCAGTGGGTCGTGACCTGTGCTGCGCTTTGCGTTTTCACGCACCGCAGGCAGGCCACCGCAGGGTATACCTGCGGGTTGCCCCCGTTCCCCCCCGTTTGTCTGGAGTTCGGTTTTATCGTGAATAAACGTAAGTGCTCCCCGAGCTCACCCGTCCGCTAGAGTAGCCTAGCACCGCCCTGTTCTGCCCCGTCCTGTCTTGTCTTGTACCCCCTCCCTCCCCGTCTTGCCCCAACGTCCCAGTAGTGGACGTTACATGGTAGCATCGGAAATCCTCGTCTTGTTTTCGTCCTGTTTGTCCTCTTTCTAGATCCTCAAGCTGGATCCCGCCTCTCTTGCCGACCGACTCTCCTCTCTGTCCCTGGAGCCTGCCCCTGCCATGAGCAACCCCCGCCCACTTCCGGAAGCCTTCCTCAAGACCTTCCGTGCCCCAGTGTTTACTGGGAAGAGCCGCTCCTCCTCGGTGGAGGACTGGCTGCAGCAACTCGAGGACTACCTCGATGCTGCCCAAGTCGCCCCCACCCACCACATCGTCGCCGCCAAGCTCTGCTTAAAGGACCAGGCGTACCGTTGGTACCGCCGCCAAGGGTTCGACGAGCAGAGCGAAGGTGTGTTTGACGACTTCAAGGACCGCCTCCGTCGCCGCTTCGGCAGCCCCAATGCTGAACTCATTGCCCGTGACAAGCTATACTCTCTCGTGCAGCGTGGTTCTGTGACCCGCTACATCGAGGAGTTTGAAGACCTCTCCTCCCAGATTGAGGAGCTGGGCTCTGCTGATGCGATGTACCTCTTCCAGAAGGGCCTCAAGCCCAAGATCAGAGAGTACATCGCCAGCAACCCTGATGCCCGCAAGTCCCTGGACGTGATGATGGACGTTGCCGAGAACCTCGACAACGTCCAGTACCATGGCCGCCAGTTCTACCCGCAGCTGGCAGGCGGCCATCGGTCTCATCACGTCCCAGCCCGTCCGCCTCGCCCGGCCCCGCCCGCAAGACCCATGCCTGAGCCCATGGACGTTGACGTCAACGCCATGGAGGCTCGTGGCCCTCCCCGCTCCCGGTTCCAGCAAGCTGCCACTGTCTCCCCCAAGGACAGACAGAAGCAGGAGGACCTCCGCCATGGTTCCTGCTTCTTCTGTCACCGACCGGGACACCAGGCCAAGGAGTGCCCCATGAAGTCGGGAAACGGCCGACCCTACTAGGTGGCTCTGGAGCCCTAGTAGGAGACCAACGCCGTGGATTGCTCAATGCAGTCCACGCGTCTCCAGAGGAAGTTCACCTCGCCCCCTCCCCCGAAGGAGAAACAAACCAAGTGTTGTGCGTCGTGCGAGAGGTGCATGGTGGCGCAAGCCGCCTGCCTCTCCACGAACGTGAAGAGAAAACCAAAATTGAAAACCAAAACAAAAAAGAAAATCAAGAACCCTTGAGGGACAGGACCGCCTGTGCCCTCACCCCTGTCAAGTCGTGTGTGTCGGATGCTTCCGACATGTGTCCGCAAGCCGTGGACGTCGTGTGCAATGGCGTGCTGACGCCGCAGGCCCCCGCAATGGCCGAACCCTATCCAAAATGTCCGAGTGGCCGTGATGAAGCCAACCAAGACCAAGTGTCGCCCGTTCCCCCAAGTCAAGTCATGGTGCAGGAGGCTGTGCAGGAGGACCATGAAGAGTCCCTGCTGTACCTCCCTGCCACCGTCCAAGGTCACACCGTCCGAATGATGGTGGACTCTGGAGCAAGCTGCAACTTTGTCAGCAGACGCTTGCTCCAGGAGCTCAACATACATGCAACCAAGAAGAAGTCGCCGATGAGTGTGGCGCTTGCAGACGATCGTGTGCAGCAGTGCACACACCAAGTGGTCCTGCGAGTGGCCCTCCATCCCAAGTACCATCCTGTCCTGTTGTTCCAAGTGATCGACACCAAGTTCGATGCCATCCTCGGCATGAGCTGGCTTGCTCGTGCCGAGCCGACTCCAGTCGTCGACTGGAAAGGCCGCACTGTCCGTGTTGGCCCTGACATTGTCCTGCAGGGCATGGCCTCACCCAACATGCCACCTCTCCTCTCAGCCATGCAATTCAAGAGGCTGATCAAGAAGGACACGTCGTTCCTCTGTGTCGTGCGTGAGGTCGACGACACCGACCAAGCCGGTCCCGGTCCCCCGCCTGTGGTGACCAAGCTGCTCGACGAGTACAAGGACGTATTCCCCGACCAGTTGCCACAATGCCTGCCACCCCAACGCACCGTCGATCATCGCATCGACATCGAACCAGGCTCGTCGCCTCCGTCAAGACCGACGTACCAACTGTCGCTGACGGAGATGGACGAACTCAAGCGCCAGTTGGATGACCTCCTCGCCCATGGGTTCATCCGCCCGAGCCAGTCACCGTATGGTGCACCAGTGCTCTTTGTCAAGAAGAAAGAAGGTGATCTCAGGATGTGCGTCGACTATCGCGCACTAAACAAACAGACCATCAAGAACACCTACCCGTTGCCCAGGATCGACGAGTTGATGGATCGTCTGAGTGGAGCAAAGGTCTTTAGCAAGATAGACCTCCGCTCAGGCTACCATCAGATCCGCATCCACGAGGATGATGTCCACAAGACCGCCTTCAGGACTCGCTACGGACTGTACGAGTTCCTAGTGCTGCCGTTCGGATTGACGAACGCACCTGCCACGTTCATGCAGCTGATGAACGATGTGTTCCGCCAAGAGCTCGACAACTCTGTCATCGTGTACCTGGATGATATCCTTGTGTACAGCAAGGATGAAGCGACCCATGAAGGTCATGTCGCCCGCGTGCTGGCCAAGCTACGCGAGCACAAGTTGTATGCCAAACTGTCCAAGTGTGAGTTCTTCAAGAATCAAGTCCCGTTCCTGGGACACGTTGTCTCAGGAAGAGGAATCGAAGTCGACCCCGCCAAGGTCAAGTCTGTGGTCGAGTGGCCGCCGCTCGCATGCGTCTCTGACGTGCAGTCGTTTCTCGGTCTCGTCAACTACTACCGCCGATTCATCCCCGATCTGGCGCGCACTGCCGGTCCACTCACAGACCTACTCCGCAAAGAGTGCCCCTTCGTGTGGGACCACCCACAACGCCAAGCGTTCGAGACCCTCAAGCACGCCTTGACGAACGCTCCTGTCCTCGCTGTGTTCGACCCGAACACGGATGTCTCCGTGCACACCGACGCCTCCGACTTTGCGGTGGGAGCTGTTTTGATGCAGGAGGGAAGGCCCGTTGCCTTCGAGTCGCGCAAACTGTCCCAACACGAGATCAACTATCCCGTGCACGAGAAGGAGCAGCTTGCGATCATCTACGCGCTGCAGAAGTTCCGAGTGTACCTCCACGGTACCGCCAAGCCCTTCAAGATTGTGACGGACCACCAGTCACTGCGTTACCTCGACACCAAGAAGAACCTGAGCCGACGCCAAGCGCGATGGATGGAGTTCCTCGCCGAGTACAACTACGAGGTTGTATACCAGAAAGGCAAACTCAATGTGGTGCCTGACGCACTGTCCCGACGCCCCGACTACCAATTGGCGTCACTGTACGAGTCGACTGTCAGTGTCGACAACACGATGCTGGATGTTGTCCGAGACAACATCGCCAACGACAAACAGTTCGGAGAACTGTTCCGAAAGGTGTCTAAGCTCCCCAAGGACGACGAATCATCCGAGTACACAGTGCGTGATGGCCTGCTCCTCCTGAAGAAGGACAGCCGTGTCTGTGTGCCGGACATTCCGTCGTTGAAGACCAAGTTGCTCCAAGAGGTCCACGACTCGCCCCTCGCTGGACACTTTGGAGTCGAGAAGACATACGACCGACTGGCCAAAGTCGCATACTGGCCTGGAATGAAGCGCACCGTCGAGAAGTACTACGACCGCCGACACCAGGATGTCTCCTTTGAAGTTGGAGACCTTGTCTACCTGGACGCCGACAACATCAAGGTCCCCGAAGCCCAGTCAAAGAAGTTGTTGCCCAAGTACCGAGGACCGTTCAAGATAGCGGCCCGACCCAGTCCCCTCAACTACCTGTTGGACTTGCCACCTGGAAGCAAGCTCCATCCTGTCTTCCATGTGTCCAAGCTGCGTCGCCACACGACCCGCAGTCCAGCACAGTTCCCCGACGCCGACGAAGGTGTCCCGGACGACGCACCACTGGAAGACGACCTCGGACAATACTATACTCAAGAATATGAAGTCGAAAGGATCGTGAGGCACAAGAAAGTGGCTGATGGGTCACTTCGGTTTTATGTCAAGTGGGTTGGTTACCCACACTCGGGCAACACATGGCAAACACTGGAGGACTTGTCCCATGCACCCGAGGAGCTGAGTAAATACGGTAAACACCTCGAGGAGCCCCAAATAAAGAGCACACGCAGGGCTCCTCGCAGGAAGCCTTCTTAAGTGTGGGAGTGTAGGAGATGGTATCTCCGACGCTGTGCTGCGCGTACTGCGCGTACTGCGCGGCGCAGTGGGTCGTGACCTGTGCTGCGCTTTGCGTTTTCACGCACCGCAGGCAGGCCACCGCAGGGTATACCTGCGGGTTGCCCCCGTTCCCCCCCGTTTGTCTGGAGTTCGGTTTTATCGTGAATAAACGTAAGTGCTCCCCGAGCTCACCCGTCCGCTAGAGTAGCCTAGCACCGCCCTGTTCTGCCCCGTCCTGTCTTGTCTTGTACCCCCTCCCTCCCCGTCTTGCCCCAACGTCCCAGTAGTGGACGTTACACGTGGGCTGATCCGTGAGATCGATTGTTTCGGCCTGAGCTTGGGCCTCAGGGGGTGCTCTGGAGGGTCCAGGGACACTGTCATGGACGTCTACGGCCATTTCGGGGGCAGGCGAGTCGTCGGGGGGCATGGTTGGTACCGGGTTGGTTTTGTTGGTAGGCAATGGGAGGGCAGTAATTCAAAAGGTGCGTCCGCGGAACACTCGATAACGAGATCGGGGCAAACCTGGGGAATTAGCTCAGATGGTAGAGCGCTCGCTTAGCATGCGAGAGGCACGGGGATCGATACCCCGATTCTCCACTTTCACTGCCCGGCTAGCCCTATCGGTAGATCGTGAGACTCCTAATCTCAAGGTTGTGGGTTCCACCCCCATTCGTCAACTTTTCGGAAATTACGTTCTCCTGTATTTTTTCCCCTGGGGATTCGGTTGTGGTTTTCTTCCCGTACTCTTCCCTGTTCAAACTTGTCGGATTTATCACTACCTGCTTTTTTACTTTTTTTTCCTTTCTCCTTTCTTTTTTTCCATTCCTCTGTTTTCTTTTCTGTTCTTTGCGTTCATCGTCTTTTTCAGTCTCCTCATTGTTCCAGTTCAAACACCTTTCCCAATTTCTTTTTTGTCTATCGCTCCATCATCTGGAGTCTGACAATATTTGCACTTGGGTCTGGAGTATTGTTTGATTTGCTTCAGTCTTTGTTGGCTGTCTTGTATTTGATTCCCTTGTCTCATATGATCATGATATTCGCTCTGTATCTGATTTTTTCAATTTTATTCTTCAAGGCCCTCCTCTGGGTATCGTCTATTCTATTCGTCCATACTGCGATTTGCAGATTGTTCTGTCCTTTTCTTCCCTATATCAGGTGTGCCTTCCTCTCCCGAGTTAGGTTGCTTGTAGCTGCAGCGACTTGCTGGTTCCCTCCGTGCTAGCGCACTCCATGTTCCCTCAGGATATCACAAGGCACGCCGGACAAGCATTTACATATTAAATACCACGGAGGAATTGCCAGGGCCTCGCCTTGTATCCATGGCGGTGATGTGCGCATCGCTGGTTGTTGCTGGCTCGACACCGCTATCATCGTGGGGCCAATTTTCAACCCCTCTGGGTCTGACGAATCAACTCACATATCTATGTGTCGGACACCCAGGAATTGGTTTGACCATGGGTTTGTTCTTGGTCCCTGTCTCGAGTGAGGATCTGCCATGGTCGTTTCTTCATACGCTGTACATATCAACACCATCGATCTCACCACAATCCACGTTTTCTGGCCTTGCTTCACTCTCTTGTGTCGTGGGACTTCGCTCTGATCGGATTCGTGTCCCGTCTTGGCGCGCTCTGCTCCGCTCTTGGACGTTCCTGCATTTCCTTCCTCCCCCCCCCCTTGATTCCCTCCATTTTCGATCCTCTTTCCTCGCACAACCGATCCTCGCTCCCGACATCATGTGTGGTCGGACGGTGATGAAACTCGTAATGCTCTCGTACCTCCCACGGCTCGCGCATTGAACTTGGCTCCATCCGCTTTCCATCGAATGGGATTGGCAGTTCCAGGAGCATCCTTGGACCGACCTCGATTGATCCTGGTTGTGGTTCCGCTTCTGTTACATATAGCAACCATCTTCTGTCCGAGAAAGGACAAAAATATCCACCTGGCGAGATGAGGCCAAGTATCGCCCAAGCTACAATGGTTGGTTTCATTCTCGCTCCGTTTCTCATCCACTGGTTCTTCGAAGCGTCCTCCTGAAACTCTTGGTCCATAGTGGCGCCTTTAAACAATCCGATTTTCGGCACGATGCCCAACCTTGAGGTCGATGAATTGAGCCAGAATGTTTCATCCTCGGATGCTGGAGGATCCAGTGCTTTGCTCGCGCTTTCGGGAAGTGATGTGATTTCCTGACTCGAGGACAATCGTCTCATTCTTCTTGATTCAGCTGCCCCGACTTCATATCAACCTATCGTATATATGGAATCCGGTACCAAGGCCCTTCGTCTTTGCTCAATGGTATGTCGTTTTTTGGTCCATTTTTGAGCCCTTTCTCTTTCATAACTCGCTCGTGACAAAGCATGCTCATTCCTCACCCAACACTTCTTTCATTGCCCGTGACAATTCCACAGAGATGGGGATTCATTCCATCACAATGCACTCGATGGCCGGATTTTGGCTCAACGATGAAGACCATCAATTGCCGAGATGATTCCTTGGCTCCGTCAAGTTCCAAGCCGCTCTGGAGCGACGCCAAACACCATCGAAGGTGCATCGTGCTGATGGAAGGCTTCTACGAATGGCAGCGCAAGGGAAAGGAACGAGTTCCCTACTTTGTCTCTTTGGAGAGCGACGAATTGATGTGGGTCGCTGGACTCTACAATCACTCAACGATCGAAGGTTGGCTGCTTTGATTTGAAGAAGGGAAGGAGATCGATGGTCATTGCTCGCCTTTGTATGCCAATCTCATTCAACCCATAAGCTCATTTGCTCCGGCTCTTGCAATTATGGCCGTTCCACTTTCCAGGACAGTCTATATTCAGCTTCTCAATCATCACGACTTCATCGTCGCCATCGCTGGCATTCCTCCATGATCGAATGCCTGTCATCCTACACGACACGCATACCATCGAAAGATGGCTTGATCCCTCCACTCCTTTTGATGGTGGCCTCCTCTCGCTTCTTAGGCCCACTGAAACTGGGCTAAAGTGGTATGATGCTCACTCGGCCGCTATGCGTAGCTCTGCAAATTATAGCGAGTGGGGCTCCTATGGAGTGGCCCCTGCTGAATGTCGACATTCGTTTCAGGTATCGTGTCTCTCAATTCGTCAATAGAGTCGGCAATGACGGGCCTGAATGCTGCCAGCCGTTGAGCGAGAGGAAGGACGTCATTTCATCCTTCTTCAAGCCAAATGCCCCGAAACAGCTCAAGGAGGCTGCCCCACTCAAGTTCAAGGAGACGTCGGACGGGAATGTATGTAATTGTCCTGCGTCCGGAGATTCCGGTAACCAGCCGAACCACAGTGTTCCAAATGGACTATGCCGTGGCTCCAATGTGGGCCCAGATCAGCTCCACTTTGGTGCCCAACCGGTTACCCAACCATGCCTCCCCAAGGCTCCGGCCCATACCTCGGGACCGGTTGAAGCTGTATTATCCGAAATCGACGATGAGGGGTGGCAAATAATACCACCGGAGCTCATGCTAGGATCGAACCCACCGACGAACGCAACAGGCCACCCGCCCGTCGAGGTATCACCATCGAATACCTGTCGTCGCCCTCCCAGCAACGGACCACCACAACAGGCTCAACAGAGCGATTCTCCCACCCCTCCATCTAAACGCAAGTCTCAGGTGGACAAACCAACGGTAACTGGGACTGTAAAAAAGAAGCCCAAGTTCATATCGGATCCCAGGAATCACGGGCGGTCGATCCTCGATTTTTTCAAGCCCATTTAGCGCTCCATGAATCCCTCACTAGCGGTAGTCATCACGCAGCACCCAGCGGCCAACGTCATCATGATCGCCTCCACGCGGCTTGATAAATTTGGCGATCCCACGCAGCAAAGTCTTCAGTAGCCTTGCGTCGTCTGGAGTGCTGATGTCGGAGCGGAATCGCTCCAACACCGCGGCCGTGGTGGCCCCGCGATGTGTCCCAGAGGCTGGAGTCCAGGCATCGGGATCGGCGTGGTCCAAAGGGCGCTCGATGTCTGGATCGGCATTAGCCGCAAGGAAGTCGCGGATTCGGAGTGCCAGGGATTCGCGAGGCTTTGATTCATCTGATTCGGGCCTTTGCGTTGCCGAAGCCAGCACTATCGTGTTCTGACTACCTGAGGCCACCTGCGGCATACTGCCCCTGTTGTAGAGCTGGCTCAGGATGGCTGATGATGCCATTGGTCGAGTGCCTTGTGCAGATGCAGCCAGAACTTGGAATCCAGCGCGTTCTCCCTGGGCAAAAGTCTCCTCTTTCCCAAGAGCGGCGACCGGCTGCCCGAAGCGACGATCAGCCGGCTTCGCAGAGGCATGACGCGCTGGTCCGGACATGCGCTGTGGAGCACCAGCATTTCCGCTGTGGCCGGTCCACGTAACTGTCCCGATCTCGGCACGCCGGACCTGCTTGCGGCTCTCTTTGAGGGCCCGAAGTGCGTCGCCAGCGATCCGTTCGACCTCTTGTTCGATCATTGCGCTTTCTGCAGTGGTTCCTTCGACAATGGCATCGTGGTGGACCGCACTGTGGACTCCCTTGGCGAAGAGTGCGCGCAATATATCGTCGTCGTCCGCAGCACGCCCGCCAACAACAGGCTCATCCTCTTGGAGTCGTTCACGGTAGTCATCCACCTTATCCAAATATTCGATTCCTCGAATCGCCGTACTCTCGTTTGCTGTGATTTCTTCAGCATTCGTGTGCTCTCGGGCAGCGCTGCTCGGTTCGATTCGCTTGCTGGAAGACCGGGATTCGATTCGGCCTGCCGTTGAGGGCTCGATGGCTGCCCCAAGGCCTCCAAAAAGCCGTGCAGTTTCAGTCTGCATTGATCCCTGCGAAAGTGCTGATGGCTTTGCTGAGCTCCGCGTGCCGTTGGACTGAGTCCGACTTTGCGGCAAGTTATCCTGGTCATCCTGTCCTTCGTAGGCTGCATCACCAAGCCGAAACAACTCCTTCAGATCGTGTCGCTGGAAAAACCGCTTCTGCTTTGGGTCCTTCAAGATTTTGTTGGTGAGGAACGTCTTGAATATTTGCCGATGATAGATTTTTTCTTCGATCGTTCCAGAGGTCATGAGCCGATACACAACAACATCACGTGTCTGTCCGATTCTCCAAGCCCGTTCGCGAGCTTGCATATCAGTTGATGGGTTCTGAAAGCACCAAGGACCGAGTAAGAGTTTCATCGTGGTGAGCCATACGGGCAGAAACAGACGGGACCGGTAAATCAAGCTAACGATGTCACTGCCCGAAGGCGAGTCGACTCGGTAGCTCGATTCCGATGGCATGATATTAATACGCCGGCGCGCTCTCGATGGCAACGCAGTGGTGTACCTGGATCGCCAAAAGGAACAGGAATCGTCTAAACGATCGAGGTGCCATTGTACTAGTACTTACCCAATCTGGATCGAAAATGATGATTCGATCAGCTCCGGTCAGGTTGATGCCGAGGCCCCCGACCTTGGTGGTGAGTAGAAAGATGAATAACTCGGTATTGCCGTTGAATTCATCGACCATAGCAATCCGATTTTGAATCGCCGTGGTTCCGTCCATCCGCCTATATGCATATTCTGGACAACGAACAAGCAAAGAGAGGATACATATGCATCAATATACCTCAATATAAACAAGTTGTTAGCGCCGAGGCTAGGACATCTGGGAGCGCCGGCGAACTCTAGCGAATACACGATGCCTAGCCCATTGATAAAAAGCATTGCTTCCGTCGCTGGCCACTCTAAAATTGATGCTCGTATAGCGGTCCTGCAATGATACTCGCGAGCCGATGGTGTACAGGGATATACCTTCTTCTCGAACGCATTTTTCGAGTATATCCAGCATCTGTCGAGTTTGACAGAATAGCAAAACGCGGTGCCCCTGCCTTTTCCATATCCTTAACAATGCAATGACCACTTTCATCTTGCCACTCTTCTTTGGATCGCCGTACTCTGGACTGTTACTCTGTTCGCGATGACGTGTAGTTCAAGCAGTGAGTCCGGTCACCAAAGCCAAGCGCGAGTAGATTGAGTATTTTAGACCCTCTAGCGACAACGCATCCTCGGCAGCGCCGAGGTCGGTGCTCACCTCGGCAATCAGCTCTTTGAAGCATAAATCAGGGTGGTTGCAAGCCTTCCTCAGGAGATCGATGCCATACAGCGCATGTCGTCGACCATCGAGAATCGCAGCGATATCAGGACTGGCCAATATCTCCCGGTAGCGATCCAATTGGGCCTGAGTAAGCTTGCAGAACAAAACCTGTTCGGTCTTTCCAGGAAGCTGGGTCGCCACATCGACTTTCATACGCCGAAGCAAGTACGGTGTTATGAGATCGCGAAGAACACATGCACACTTGTACGCTGTTTGGACCGAGAGGTTGCTCGCGTTTGCATATCCACCGAGGTTGATAGGAACTGCAAATTCATTGTGGAACACGGGGAGTGTCTGGAACAAGTATATAATGAGGGAATAATCGTTAGAGACCGATGGTGTCCATCGTCAAGATCATGGATAGTAGTGGGGGATCTACACTTGCCCCGAGTCGTCCAGGAAACACAAAGTCATAGAGCGACCATAGCTCGGTCAAGTTGTTTTGGATGGGCGTGCCTGAGAGGATGATACGGTGGGGGGTCTGGCAATCCAAGATGAGGGTCAGCAAAAAATGTGCCATCTGGCTGTACTGTCATGGGTAAATGTGCGATGCCCCCTCCGAAAGTCTAGTGAACTCTGCCTCGGGGAGTAGGCACCAACGCATCCAAAGCGAACGTAGTCCTCACCTTAATCTTTTTGCACACCAAAGTGACCTCAGTGTCAGGATTCCTGATCTTGTGGCCTTCATCCAAGACACAGTAGCCCCATTTGACGGGCAAGAGCGACTCGGCATGGATGCGTATTGCCGCATAAGTTGTGATGAGTACATGTCCCTTGGAAACTATTTTCTCAATCAGAGCCAAAACCTTTTTTCGCATTGAGGAATTGACTTTAGCTGGCGACGTTTTTCGCATCTTGGGCCTTGTGCTTCCCACGCTGCTTAGTCGATGTTTGGCTCCGCGTCGGTCTTTATAAAAGTCGTCGTCGTTATCACCACCGCCATTGCGACCAGCTGCATGAATATCTCGCGGAGATTGCCGATTTGATGCTCGATCGGACTTGGCTTGGAATACGTTGAGGGGAGAGCCGCTATCGTCATCGGAGCTCTCATTGGCCGGTGCGTTGGCGATAGCCGTTCCGGAGGAGTGCAGAATTGCCACACGAAACGGAGGCCACCACTTGTGAAATTCCGAGAGCCACTGACGCATTACCGTCGCTGGACACACAACAAGAATCGGGCCCTTTAGAAGCTTTGAGGCACCCAGGCCAGCGAGAAACGCGATGATCTGTATAGTTTTACCGAGTCCCTGGGGGTCGTGCATCAGGAGCAATGAGACACGACGGTGCTCAATCGGGTCAGCTTCGATTCAGCGCCATATAATGCTCTGAAACAATCGGGTAAAGGAGTAAAATAAACTTTCTCACCATTTCGTCCCCGATGATCCCGCCTACATCTTGGCAGTAGAGCTCCCATAGCCAGCGCGTGCACGTTTGCTGATATTCAAATAGTTTGGAATAGACATCTCCAGGTAGTCGGTAGCCGTCACCATAGTCTACGTCGTCATTGTTTGGGGAGCGCGAATACATCTCTGACTCAATATCCTGCAGGAGCTCGCGATGGATCGCCTCTTGAGTAAGCTCATCGTCCATTTGGCAATCACCGCGGGGGGGATGCGTCGTCTTGGCTTTCCTCTTCTAGATGGATATGAGTAGACGTACAGGAGCGTAAAAATCCTAGTCATGGCGAGTCGTCTCTGAAACCTAGCTGAGGCGAAGAATGGGGATCCTGTAGGGCCGCTGCTCCAGTGCCATATGTACTACCTCCTGTTTTCGTAATTTTCGAGCCATCCTCCTTTGCAGAACCCATTTCTCCAATCGCTTTTGGTACACAAGCTCGTCGCCGTCGTCCACAGATTTGACCCGATATCGACGATGGCTTGCTGCCCCAGATCGAACAAGATCTCGATTGGACGGGGCACTGTCTGAATAATCACCAGTATCATCGTAGCTCGACTCTGAATCGGCTTTAGACTCGACCTCTAGGTCGTCCTCGTCCTTGGGCCTAAAATCGGAATCTTGATGACTTTCGTCTGGTCGAGGGCGCTTGCGAGAGGCGGTCGTGTGCTGGCCAGCACTGCTTGAGAATGGACCTGATTCGCCATGAGCCGGCGACGCAGGGTAAGCAGGAGCGAGAGCATCGGCGATTGCTTCACTAGACTGTTCAGACTCTTGGTCGATGATCTGACTGATAAGGATGGCGGTCTGGGCTGCTGCAGACGAAGCAGTGGCCGAGGGCGATTTGCGGGCTGCTCGCGCATCGACACCGGGTGCTTTCTGGAACGGAGTGATGATTCCGATGCGAATCAGTCGCTCGTGCTCTGTCTCAGACTCTAGGCTGTTCAACTCGCCCGAACGACTTGATTGCTGAGTCCTCGCTTCAATTCGATGCAAGATCTGATTGCGCTCTTCCGTTGCTGTCTCGAGCTGCTGCTCAATATTCTGGATGCGGGTCACAACGGTTTCTTGCTGGTGCAGCGAGGTTGATGGGTGTGAAAGCTTTTGCCGAAGAAAGCCCAAGCGACGATTGAGAGATCTGCCAGGGACGTTACAAATATCGCATGGCCGGCGTGAGCCACGGCGGGTGAAGCATACTGCCGCAGCGAGCGGGACAAGCAAGAAGGGCTGCAAAGACACGACGGATCGTCATGAACCAACGATGGAACCATAGCGATTCTAAAGCAGTGCCGTCCGAGCCACATCGAGTATAGTATTTATTCTTACTCAACTTCGGACTGCGACTTTTTGAGTCGTTTACGGTCGGCCTCCTGCTCCCGCTCCCTGATTTGTTTGTCGGCCTGGTAAAGCCAGTGGGGTTCGAAGGGTCAGTTGGACGGAGCGAAATGGCAGAAGATCCTGACTACTGAATACCCGCTGTGGGCGAAGGAGGCATGGCCGATGGCGCTCATGGATGGATTCGAGCAGGCCAGCACCTTAGCATAGAGAGATTGTTCGAGGGCGGCTTGGTCCTGCACACCAGCAAGCAAGCTTCCGTCAAGGCCGGCGAGCTCAGCGTCAAAGTCATCCATACTGAAGCCGTGACGCTGCAACGATCGGCCCGAGGAAAGGCACAAGGCGATGGATTGGGCGCCGAACCAGGGAGCAGCGGAGGAGCGGTGGAGAAGCAGAGGAGCGGAGAACCGGCCGACCTCGCAACGAGGCGGCTGCGCCTTCTTGCCAGGTCGACGCGCAGCCGAGCACGCGGAAGACACATGATCTGGAGTGGGACGGTGGCTCTGAATGGCTGGATCCAGATCGATCCGTTAGCTGCGTGTGTGACTGGCTGCGGCCTGTTGGTCACGCTGCCCTTGCTGACACTGCCGCAGCTACACGTGTCGCTCTGTGCGCAAAGCGGCGCAACGCACCACCACGCGACCGTGTTGCAGCGCGTCTGTGACCAACACAACAACAGGACCCTTCGCGGTCTTCACAAAACAGAGGGCGGCCTCGGCCTTGTTGGAGCGCCAGTCTTGCGTTTTGCTGCTGCAGCTTGGGATCCGTGCCTTGTGCTGTGCTGGGTTCGCTGTGGCGATTGAGTTGTGCCGTTGAGCTGTGGCGATTGAGTTGTGCCGTTGAGCTGTGGGGCTGCGCAGCTCATTTGTACAGAACACCAGCAACATCAACAGCAACAGCAACAGCAACAGCAACAGCAACAGCAACAGCAACAGCAACAGCATCGGCCACGGTCCCTTGTCGTCTCTGTCCGCGTCTGTGTTGCATCGGCCCTTGTGGCCCCCAGGGCCCGTGCCCTCATGCGATATCGGCCTCGGATGGCGCCGTGCCTGGCTCTGGCGGCCGCCCAGTCCGATCTGCCCTCCTCTCCCCGCCTCGTTTCCGTTTCGTGGTCTTCCCCTCGGTCCACATCCACATTCGCATTCGCACCAGCTTCCGCATCATCCTCAGCATCAGCATTCGCACCAGCATTCGCATCAGCATTCGCTTTCGCATTAGTGCCCGCACCCACACCCGCACTCGCGTTTGCAAACATATCCTCTGAGCCGTGCCTGCCGTCGCAGCTTGGCTTGCTGCCCCTCGTTGGATCTTGCCTATGGTCCGAGCCCCTTCCCGGCCAAGTCGCTTGTCTCTCCATCTTTCCGGATCTCTTGGCTGTCGCTGTCTCGCTACCGTTCGGCTGCCAATCCCCCTTGGATTTTCCCTGCCCCCTTGGTTACCTTCGGTGACTATCCCGGCTAAGCTCGCCGAAAGCCGGTATGTTCATATTCCCGTCTACTCACGATGCAGATTCCTCCGTGAACAGACATAGAGAGCCTATCGGGGCTTTGTCGATATGGGTCTCGTACTCAATGTGCAATCTCTGTGACCGAGATCTGACCGCCTTCCGTCTTAAACCCCGATTCTTATCGACCCCATCGCACCCCTCCCACCACCAATGCGGAACTGCCCCTGCTCCACCCCTGTATATTTCGGTCGCATCCTGGCGCCTTGGCATCGCACCGCCCCCAAATCACACTTGCCGGCCATTAGAACACCTCGATACCAGACCTCAACTCGCGCCTGCCCAAAGCATGAATCAACCGTCTTCATGCCTGCACATCTCGTCTCTGCCTTTGATCTCTAATCCTGGCTCGATGCTTGTCGTGCTGGCACTTTTGTCGAGTTGGTCCGTCACAACCAGCGCCGCCAGCTTTTCGACTTGGCGATCGTGCACCTCGTTTTACCCATCAGCTCAATCCATCGATCACACCAACATGGACTTTGCGAACGTCGGGGATTGCATCAACTCCTGTTCGGGACTCAGTCAGTATGTCGCCGTGGCGGCTCCACCAATGTGCTCGGACTGGTATCTTTTTTGCTACTGTATCGGCCCATCGGAGGCCCAGAGCCTCTCCTCAAGCAATACCTGCAACGCCATCTGCCGAGGCAACCTGGTGTGTGGGTCCTGCTATGACTCCACCGCCTTCACAATCTACCAGGTGAGGAGCACTGTCTCTATCTCGGTGATCCACGCCGCCATCATATCTTGCTCTGCATATTCGTGCCCGATCTTCGATAGCTCTGGTCACAGTTGTCCATGAAAATTTGCCTCTTGTTATTAGGATCTCTGCTGGAGGCTTCTGCTTTTGCTTCTTCCTGCAGCCAGTGGCAGTCTCGCTCTTGAAATGATCGCAGTCGCTGTATTTATACATATGGTATCTTCACTTTTTCGCCAATCCTTATAACCTTGCTTGCTCAATAGATTCAAAGCCAGCCACTACCAACCACCACCACAACAACAATAGCCACAACCACAACCACCAGTAAACCCGCGGACACCTCTGCCGCATCTTCCCTGCCAGCTTCGTCGCAGATCCCGGCCGCATCTTCCTCTATGACAGCATCTGCTCTGACCAACACTGCCACAATGCCATCGGATAGCTCTCTGTCCTCTCCTACCGCCACCTCATCTGCTGATAATTCTACCGGTGCAATTTCGCATCCTCAAACTCCGACTATGATCCCCATTGCTACTCCGATGCCGCCCTCAGTCTCCAGCCTCTCTGGCTCGCCATCGGACCCAAGTGGCGGAAATTCGGGAACAAGTCTCAATCCAGCTGTCAGTCTCACAATCATCCTCGTTGCATCCCTCTCAGCCATCATATGCATCGGAATTGTCGGCCTAATCTTCTATAGAAATCGAGCAAGGTCAATATCCCGAAAGACAACCTCACCCACCCCGCCCCCTCGGGGCGATGCACCTTCTCCTGGTCCCGGCCGCACCCCTCTATCGACATCTGCTCCAGTTGTTCTCGACATTGAGTCGGCAAATTCCACCACCCGCCTGCCAACCTGGGTGCCAGCCGAGACGCCGTCCCCATCGGCAACGTCGGCGCCTTCGTTTGGAGGACATCCAGAGTCGTCACTTTCAAGCAACGGAGAAACGTCAGTACCAGCCGCTCAGCCGCTTTGCTCAGCACTGTCGGCCGCCTCTCCCACCGCGCCCACGACTGAGAGTCAGCTCCGGCATGACCAACTCCGTGGCGATCTCAGCGTAGTTATGAGCGCAATCGTACAAGATGGCCATCTCGCCCCACCGACATATGAAAGCTTGGATCAGCTCCCTGTCCCAACCCAGTATTATGTTGCTATCATGGACTTCCACCCAACTCGGCCAGACGAAATCGAGTTGCGTGTCGCTGACATTGTTTGCCTCGGGTACGTAGAGCTGTATTGTTCCTGCGTCCATCCTAGCATGGCATCTGTGGCGTAGCAGGCATTATACAGCCTCGAAAAATATTCGACGCATATGTTGAAGAAGATGCCGCTCGTAATCGCTTGCCTTGTGTTCGGCTGTGAAATGCTATGAGAGCTGGGCCACATTACTGTTCCTCCATCTGTCCCACAGTGCGCACTCGCTCTCCGCCACGTGAAGTACCTGCTTGGATAGACTCAATCTACCATGAGCGCTTATTCTAACACAGCTACCCCATTGATTAAAACCGCTACTCTACCTGAAACTCCCTGTTTTGCACACCCCTCTCGTACACACAACTTCCTACCTGGCTTTTATCCGTGATCAGGCAATGTTTCGCGGATGGATGGGCGGTTGGCACAAGCCGTCGCACTGGCAAAACAGGGGTTCTTCCGCTTCAATCATTGGTCGTAGTTTCGGATGAGAAGTTGTCCGTTATTGCCGGGCTTCAAAGCGGCGCTATGCATCCAACACAGACAAGCAATGAAGCCGCACGAAGGCCCACCGTTTCTCCAACTCTGTCCTTGAATCGTGGTAATCTGACACAGCATCGGGGATCAACAATTGCCTATACACCCGAGGAGCTTCTGAGTCGAGGCGTGATCAATTTTGAACAATGCATATTACTGAAGGAGCTTCAAAACAAGGAAAAGGCGCTGGAGCTGCAACGACGAGAGCTGGAACTAGTCCAAAATGAAACAGCATACCCTGGAGTTTAACGTCGATCGTCCACCCCACTCCACCCACCCCGCCCCTCCCCACTTTTACTTGCTTCATATTTCTGTTTCCTGAATACAGACTTATTGCTATGCGGTTCTCGTGTTGCATTTTGCTTGCTCGAGGCAATGCTTGTCAATCGAAAGTCACATCCGAGAAGGAGCTTCGCATGCCAACAGACATCACCGTGTGCTGACTCCAGACGACGATGGAGTTCCATTCAAAGGAACGATCAAATGGCCTATTGCAAAAATGTCTAAAGCAACCAGTCGTAAGTCGGCCATATGATGGCGACATATAGGTGCTGCAGAGAGGAAAGGGCATCTCAAGCATCTCAAGCATCTCAAGCATCTCAAGCATCGTGAATACCTCGGCAGTAATTGAATCTGGTGGAATATGATACAGGGACACTGGTCTCTATTATCCACATGACGGATCCAACTAGTTCGCCAATTCACCTGGGTCTTCCGCGTCCTGGTGAGCATCTTGGCCTGGCTGCCAGTAACTATCAACATGCGGCTTATTCGGAACGATACGGGGCAGTGTCCGTTGAATGTGGCACCAGAGGCTTGAAGCCTGCCGAACTTCCGTAGGCTCCAGTGAGTAAGCCGTGAGGCTGTTTCCCGTCCTGGCTGGCAATATCTTTGTTTTCGTTGACTTGGTCTTGAATACACTCGGTCGATCTCCTGAGGCGATGATTGATGTGTCGATGCGGGAGTGTGGTGCATCCATTCGGTGTGTGAGTGTGATGGGTGCACTCGACCCTCTGGACTACTCCATGGTGTATCGATATCACAATACTCGGCATTCTCGAGTCGCTTGGCTTCCCGGCACTGTGAGCACACCTGGGATGTGTTGAACTCGTTCGCCGAGCACACCTTGACGTCTCTGGTGGTGGTGGAATTGCTCAAAGTACCGAGCGAACCTGAGTCTCCGTGAACCGGATGCATATCCCTTCCCTTACTTCCACGAGGCATTCCCAAAGGCAATCACAATGTCGGTCTCCTTGAAAGCGCTCTTTGGTCATGGTGGGCGATGGATTGGGTGTGTATTCAGGCACGGAAGTCAACGACCTCCCGGCTCAAAATGGGGTGTCCCATTTCATTTTGGAAACGCTTTAAGGTTTGCTCCAGCCCACGCTGGCGCAGTGCCGGAGAAGAAGGCGGACCCGGATCAGAAGGAGGAAAAAGAAAGGCGGGTGGCGACAAAAAAGACAAGCGGGCGAAATGGGGCCTCTGCTGCCGGCTCTCGGTCGTGGTTGACGCACCGGCTGCGAGGGGGGGGATGCTGGTGGTGGCCGTATGTGTCCTCTTGCACGGCGTGCCCCAGGTGCTCAGCTGGCTTGCAAGCCGGCCGCATTGTTGGCGGATGGGCCCAACTTTCTCCAACAGCAGCGTCCGGCAGGTGGGTCGTGAGCCCCATACCTCGCGCCACACGGCTGTCGGTCAACAAGCTGCCGGCGCCATGGGCCAACGATGGACAGCAATGGACAGCAGTGGATAGCACGGGGTGGGCTGCGTCCTTGTTCGGTCTGCTCGGTGGGAATGGGCTTGCCCGACGATACGCTTGACCCGGCCTGCTCGACGATAAATACCCCATATTCGAGCATCCTCCATCTCCCTCCACGGCCAGCGCCCAGTTCGCTCAGCACCTTCCGTCTTCCAGTCTCATCCACCAACCCCTCCCTCTCCCACGACCCGCAGCATGGTGCTGATCCGCCGCCGCAACCTGCTCCAGGGCGTTGCCCTGGCTGGCCTTCTGAGCTCGGCCGCCGCCAAGGCCCTGGGCAGTCTCCCAGACTCGTACTGGCCCTCGCCGTCGTTCGAGGTCAGCGACGTTGTCAGCAACCTGGTCGACCAGCCGCTGGACCTGGGAGCGCTGCAGTCCACGGCCGTGGATATCCTGACCAAGAAGCTCGGCGTCAGCCAGAGCCAGTTTGCCATCACCACCTCGTGAGTACTGCCGTCGGTCAGAGTGCGGAGCTGGGCCACGGGCAATGTCGTCTGCACCGGGGTCTGCCGCCGTGCTGGTGCCTCGCACCATGTCCTGTGCATATCGGCTCCTGTCGCTCTCGATCCGACATGCTCGTTGGCACCTGGGCCTGGTGTGGTTCGCTGGGTCTTTGCCTCCCTCGGACTCGTTTCTCACTCTCGATTGCCCGCTCGCTCTCGATTGCCCGCTCACTCTCGATTGCCCACTCGCTCTCAACTGCCCGCTCGCTCGCCTGTGCCTTCTGGCCTCAGCTTCCAGGATGACCACAACGGCATCTACCACCTGCACGTCCAGCAGCTGATCGGCGGGCAGCCCATCGCCAACGCCGTCGCCAACATCAACCTCGACAGCAACGGCAACCTGCTCTCGATCGGCTCGACCTTTGCCAAGGTCGACAGCTCGCTCACCAAGCGCGGCCTCGAGCCTCGTGCCGCCAAAATCTCGGCCAAGAAGGCCCTGACCAACTTCCTGACCAAGGCCAAGATCAAGTTCACCGCCAGCAAGCTCAAGGAGACCGTCAAGGACAACACAACCTCGGTCATCGACGGCGCCCAGGACTTTGCCCAGCTCCCCATCACGGCCTCGCTGCAGTACTACCAGGGCCCCTCGGGTGTCTCGCAGGTCTGGAACATCAACGTCTATACCAAGGGCGGCGACGACTGGTTCGATGCCTTTGTCGACAGCCAGACCGGCGAGGTCGTTGCCGTCGCCAACTGGGTCAACAAGTTTAGCCAGGCCGGGCCCAGCACTACCTACAACGTTATCCCCTTCAACTACGGCGACATCTCGCAAACCCCCCAGACGCCGGTCGCCAACCCCGCCGACCAGGACATCTCGCCTCTCGGCTGGCACGACGACGGCAGCGGTGCCAACCCCACCACCAAGGGCAACAACGTCCATGCCCAGGAGAACTGGAAGAACTATCCCAAGGGCCAAGACGAGGCCCAGGGCACCCGCCCCACCGTCGGCAGCGACTACAACTTCAATTTCAAGTACGACACCACCCAGGACCCCAAGAGCAACGTCAACGCCGCCATCACGCAGCTGTTCTACATGAACAACATGGCCCACGATATCTTTTACCGATACGGCTTCAACGAGGCCAGCGGCAACTTCCAGACCAACAACTTTGGCAAAGGACGGCCAGGGCGGCGACTATGTGATTGCCAATGCCCAGGATGGCAGCGGCACCAACAACGGTAGGTACGAGCCCACAGCCAAGGCGGCCGTGGTCTGTCGGCCTGACATGTGGCGGGACAAGTGAAGCTGTGGGCAAGTGGTGGACTGCAGGAGTCATTGAGGTGGTGCAGTGGGCGGTGGGCTGGGATGAGCAGTGGGTCGACGGGCGGCACACACACGATGCTGGAACTGATGTTATCCACCATGCCGTCGCCCCATGTCCGCCATCAACCACACCAACCACATCAACCACATCAACCACACCTACCACATCAACCACACTAACCACATCGCACATCAACCACATCAACCACATCGCACATTGCAGCCAACTTTGCCACTCCCCCCGATGGACAGAACGGCCGCATGCGCATGTACATCTTCACCGCCACCACCCCCAACCGCGACGGCACCATGGACAACATGATCATCACCCACGAGTTTGGCCACGGCGTCTCGAACCGTCTCACTGGTGGCTCGGCCCAGGCCAACTGTCTCAGCACCACCACCGCCGGCGGTCTCGGCGAAGGCTGGAGCGACTTCTTTGCCAACATCTTTGAGCTCAAGCCCACCTACAACCGAAACACCCCGATCTACGCTGCTCCTTACACCGTCGGCAACCCCAAGGGCATCCGCCACTACCCGTACACCTCCGACATGACCCTCAACCCCGAGACCTATGCCACCGTCGCAAAGTCGTCCGAGGTCCACAACGTTGGCGAGATCTGGACGCAGATGCTGATGGAGGTGGCCTGGAACCTCATCGAAAAGTACGGCTTCGAGCCCGACATCCAGAACTCCAAGAGCGGCAAGGGCAACAACATTGCTCTCCAGCTGGTCATCGACGGCCTCAAGCTGCAGCCTTGCAACCCCGACTTTGTGAGTGCCCGCAACGCCATCATCCAGGCCGACCAGCAGAACAACAACGGCGCCAATCTGTGTGAGATCTGGACTGGCTTTGCCAAGCGCGGCCTCGGCTACAGCGCCAAGGCAGGATCGTATGTCGATGCCAAGGACCTCCCTCCTGCTTGTGCTGGTCCAAAGTCCTCCAGCACAACCTCAGCTCCAAAGACCGCATTGAGCAGCTCCTCTGTCTCATCCCATGGTACGGTAACGGCCAAGTCGACCCTTACAACAGTTCCAGCCAAGTCTACCGCAACGACCAAGAGCTCCAGTCTTCCCACTCGCTCAACCGTCACAAACACAAGAAAGACCAAAACCCCCAAGACCAAAAAGTCCAAGACCAAGAAGACACATACAAAGAAGCCACAAACCAAGAAGACAAAATCAAAGAAAAGCCACCAAAGCCCCGGACTGCAGGCGTAATCATTGGCCGACGCAGCGGGGCATCTTGTTTCCGATGGTGCCCACTGCTTAAATTCTGGCTTCTGAATACATATTATCGTATCCCGTATGTTGGCTGACTTTGTGGCTTTGGTCGATTCGTCGCACCATTTTCTTGCTCTGGATTGCTTCGTCTGCGCTAGACTGTCCATCGCAAAGGTGTCTGAGAGTACTCTTCGCCTGTATGTCTTTGCATGGACAAGTGGCACGATGATCGCTGGAACCGAGTCCAAAGACGGATCATGTTGATGACCCTTGGATTTGCTCCGCCGCGCCTTTGCTGAAAACCCCTTCGACTCCACAAACTGAATCAGTGAATGGCTCTTGATGAGTGCTTTTCAACAGTTGCGTAATGACATCTGAAAGACCTTTTCGTGTTGTATTGTGGCATTGTGGCACAACGACATCTAGAGTGCGGAACGATCGACAGCACTGTGCAAGAATTGTCCACTAGTTGGCCGTGAAGCGGAACCCGGCATCGATAAAGCAACTGAGTAGCCTGGGTGTATGAGATATAGCGGTGAGTCTTTGGCGAGGGTTGGGGGCGCATGAGCAGCCAGACAAGCATCGCGCTGGCGGTTCACACGTATCCCGAGCAGTGTCCATCGACAAGAGCGTCCTTTGATGATATTGGAGACATACTTCAAAAAGTCATCTTGATCCAGCTTGGAAGTTCGTTCCTTGGCAAGGCCGGATGATTCGAGCACCTCATCGATCTTGGCTTTTACGTCAAAGTCCATGGGTACATCCTTAGGGACGAGGGAAATGTGAAGGTGGCGTGGATCAGCGGCGCGATCCAATGAGGGCTACATCAGAGGTACAGGGCTGCCCATGCGCTCGGCGAGTTGGTCAACCTGGCCGGTCAGGGAGCAGACAGTCTTGAAGTTGTGTTCGAGTAGCTCATAGACAGCATCGGTTTTGAAGCTGGCTGATACGGTCCTGTTTTTCCGATTGAACAATATTCTCAAAAGCCCATCCCATTCGTTGAAGTCAATGGGTGGCGGAGGCTGGCGCAGTTCGATTCGAACAACGCTGTAATTGCGATATTTACATATCCGGTCAGCATGAAGCATCCTTCAGACAGTCAGTGGCACCACAGGCAAACAAGGACAAATCCAACCGCAGAGTCACGCTTACCTTGACTCGACTTTGGGTGGCGGACGGAAGTTATTCTTTCCAACCTGGAACATGAGCGAAGGCCTAAGCATGCGGATTTGGGGGGGGGTTGGCTAGCTGAGCCGTGCATGCCAAATCCAAGCGATACTGTTTGTTGAAAATCCTCTACCATCACACCTTCATCAAGTGGTCAACATTTGACAGTAGTTGAACATTGGCCGACAAGCGACTGTAAAGATTGTCGCCTGGCTTTGCTAGAAGCGTTAAGGCAAACTCGCGCTGGAACATGAGTACAGCACATCTTGTCGCGGGCGAGCCCACCGAGATACAAAATCGGCAACGTAGCATTTGAGAGCGTGGGTGTTATTGTGATCGTCCACAGTTTGACGTCCGCCATTGATAGTCCACCGCAACATCGGAACAGAGACCGCATGTTAGTTGCAGATGCTAGTTTCCAGACGATACGGTGTCACATTCCAACCAAAGACGCTGACTGGAAGAAATTCGTTGCAGATAGTAGTGATTTACCTCCACATTGGGCGATGGTGCAATAGCTTGAGAGTTAGGGCCGCAGAAATCTAGGGCAGACCGTGATATCGGATCATGGTTTCTCAGATCACAAGGCAGATGACCATGGACACTGCAGCCTCAAGCCCTTGAGTCGTCGCCACAAGGCAACTAGCAGTACCTGATATGGTGTATTACTGACACAGACGTCAAAATATGGTAGATCGACCTTCAGAAAATCTCCGACGATAATCTCAAGCTTTTTCTGCAAGGGCCTAAAATAGTGATAGTCGAGAGAGCATGGCTATGTTCAGGGCTACGCTGAAGTGCAACCAGGGCCTGAAACTCGGCTCTTGAGCAAATAGGACAGACAGTCGGTTGCCTCCGCGATATGGTTTCAATAACACTCTGTCATTTCCTGCAGGTAATCGGTGGCATTAATTTGAAAGCCAATACATACGTTCCTTGGACACGCTTGGCCAATTCTGCGGCCAGGCGAGGGTCCATTTCGACAACGATAACCTGTGGGCCAAATCGACACGAGACGATCCAAGTATTTCACAGGTTTGAGTTTCCAAGGGAGACGGACGGTAAAGAGACGAAGCCAAGGATTCGTTTGGAGGGTTGTTAGAAAACGATCGAGAGTTGCTGACTCCAACGATCAGACATGCCACGGGAGCCTGACTCGCCTATGATCAGACTGCTAATGTAGCAACATATGATCCGAGGTTATTGCCGACAGCGACTGTGAAGTTTGGAAACTTGCCTTCTTCGCCTTTTCCAGAAGCTTTACTGTCACATTACCGGTACCTGGACCGATTTCCAGCACCGTGTCGGTGGATCGGATGTTTGCCTGTCATGAGGCGATAGACTAGTTTTAGGCGGGGCGACAATGATCCTCAATAGCAGGGAGGGCCGTCGATATATAAGCAAGATGGGCTCCGTCGATTGGTAACGGGAAAGGTCGGAACAACTTGGCACCCACCGCGGCCGTTTCTAGCCTCACAAAGCGCCCGGAACGGACGGTATGGGCCACGGCTTGATCGCCAGTTCATGGCTTTGCGTTTGGCATCTTACCTTATCAACAATACCATTAACCACAAGCGGGTTCTTTAGAATGTGCTGACCGAGCTCTTTATTGAATAGTGGCCCCGCAGATCGAGCATGAGACGCATCTCTTGGCTTATCGGCTTTGGGCATTTTTATGATGGTGATAAAGCTTCCAGTAAACAGACACAGTTGAATGCAGAGCACCGGTGTTGGGCGCTAGACTTTCTGCACGTCCAAGATTGATGCTGTGGGTCGACGAGCTGGCGCTGGCGGCCCGCTGGCAGAGCGACGCAAAAACCGCGGCTGCCCCCCAAAAAAAAAAACTGGCTTGAGCCAAATGCTGCGCACACATCGCCCCACTTGATTCAGAAAAAAATGGCACACCACACCCGCTTCCATGAACATGTAGAATGTGATGAGCTTGCGTCAAGCAGAGCCATAAGAAGGACGATGTGGGTGGCGACGGTGTCGCTTGAACTGCTCAAAGTACTTGGCAAACCGCTGCCCCCGAGGGCTGGATGCACAACTCTTGCCCTGTTACCATGACGCACTGCCAGCGACGAACGGTGCTCTTGGACACACTGGCGAATGGCCATGGCCAGCGCGCGATGGTATTGGGTAACAATATTTAATCGATGGTCAAAAAACCAGGCTGTAATGAAACAGGACACCTGATATGAGCCGGGGCTTCCCTTATTTTCAGCGGCTTGATTACACCCGCTCATCGTCCTCCGTAGCCATACATCGTGTCCAAGGGGACTGGCATTGTGGTCGCCTCTGGAAATGCCGCCTGGAAGCGAGTGAAGGGATACCCATCGAGCCCACGGCACCTCGGGTTTGCTAAGCAATTTGAGCAGTCCCATCATCGCCTGAGACAGCCATGCCCCAGAAAAGACAGCGAGTGACTCGAAAAGGTCAAGCATCTTGGTATCGAGAAATCACGGAGCCGCCCAAAGGTCGAATGCGTGCACCACCCTCGCATCGGGATGCCAGTGACAATCGATCGCCACCACAGAGTGTATTCATGACTCTACTTCCAAAACTAGCCAAAGCCAAGCGATGGGCAGCAATGGCTGAGTACAGCCACATGACTTGCCCACCAGGAGCTACGGATCGCAGTGAGAGATACTCAGGGGTACACACTGTCCTCTTTCGCTCCGATGTAGTTGTGAACAGGATCAACGACAAACTCAATGCTGTCGTCATTGACACCCTTGACCGAGCCACGGGCTCGCGATTCAAAAGATGGACGATAGTTTGTTTTAGTCGCTTGGGGTTCTGACGAATGGTAAATGGTAAATGGTAAATGGTAAATGGTAAATGGTAAATGGTAAATGGTAAATGGTAAAGCTGAATGCTGGAATTCATCAGCCGTAGAGCCTGTCCTCGTTTCCAATACGATGTCTCGGCTCAAGAGCCCAGACAGAGGCCCATGAGGATTATCGAGACAATCATTATAATGCAGCCGCGATTCACTTACCAGCAGCAAATTTCTGATTGAACCGTTCATTCAATACTGGATGCCTTGCACCAGCGTTGTTTTTACGGAATGGGGTGAAGTGTCGCACTCCTGTCCACTGGCGACGACGGCGGTCTGCGAAAGCCAAAGCGTCAAGCTCTTGGCATAATTGCTCTCGTTTCTAGAGAAGGAAATGCATCGGAAACGTCCCCAAGGCGGAACAGGGGCGCCGATCAAGAAGGCCAAGGCACCAAACAAGTCACCGAGAGCATTAGTGAAATGAGATCCACGGACAAGCTTTCCTTTACACTGACTGATAAAAGACATTGTGCTTAAAAGAGCTGTTTCTGACAGAAAACAATGAATAACTGAGATGATAGTCCAACCTGATTCATGGCATCGGCTTCCATGGCCTTTTGGAACCGTTTCTGGGCTATATCGCGAAGCTTCTCGAGTCGTTCCTCTTGACACAGAATCTCGTTGGCACGTTCTTGGGCCACCAGTTCTACATTGTCGCCGGCTTGGGGGGTTGCTTTGGAAGAGGAGTAGTCGCATCGGACAGCATGGTAGTCTCGATGAAATTCGGTGTGCGAGTACTTTCGCGCGCCGCCAGGATGATAGAATTCGTGACGCACACGAACAAGAGACTGAGACGCCAGTTCGCAAGCGGGGAAACTTGAGCAATCGACCAGTTTCTGCTTAGCAGCTATGAAGCGAGCGCGAGCCCGCTCTTGTTCATGGATCGCTAGATGTAATTCCCGGCGGGTTTGCTCGCACTTTGTCCGATGGGCTCGTTGCTCAAGTTCCTTGAGAGCGCAGTCGCAATCACCAAGCAGCCATTGTCAGCATCATATAAGTAATGGTGTCTTAATTTTCATAACAGTGAGACTTGGGTATCAAGGCTGCTGTTTTTTATAAACACTGCCTTGCCAAAGGAAATAGAGCCAGGAGGGTAATAATGGCCGGTGACGGTGGCGGTAACTCACCAATTGCAATGCGTGCTGACTTCGTTCCTGCTGGACCTCCAGGCGTCGTCGGGCCAGCACTTGATTTTCTTGCTCTTGTTTTGTCTATCGTACGAGTACACGACGATATAATTAGGGGGTCGAACAAACAACGATGAATTGATGTGAAAGTAGGGGGCAGGCGTCCGCGCCTGCTCATCCTCCGGACTAACTGCCATGGACATTGCAGCTGAAATGCTGTTCATCCGACGTATGTGCGTGTGCGTTCCGGAATTGGCATGAAATCCATTTGCACCATCAACTGAGAGCAATGCCATTGGGCCAATGCTCCGACGGGCAGCACCAGCGACGGGCATGCTCTCATTTTCTCGGTCGCCCGAGACCTCTCATCCATCAAATTCTGCGCTTGTAATACCGTTATGATCTTGGATCTGCGAACGATTGGATCATTTGGGGCATGGCCACCTGACTCACCTTACGACGGTTCTCCTCGATAGCGCTACGATGAGCCTGCCCAACGATATGTCCAAGCTGCTGCTGCATCCGCTGCTCATCCTCGATCGCTTGATGCGTTTTGCGCTGTTCTTCCGCCTAAGGAGCACGGTGGATGTGGATCTTTAGAGTCGCAGGATCTCGTGCACTGTAATAAGACGGGGTCCGGAAGACTCTTCTGACCTGTTTGAATTGTGTGGCGGCTTGAAGCCGTCGCTGCTGCATATCCCGATAAGCCACTCGCTGTTTCTCGGCCAATCCTCGCTCCTTTTCGCGGGTCTGGGAGGGATCGATCGATCACGGAGTAGGATCAAAGTGTTTGGAGCAACAGTACGAGGTGAGACCAATGATGCATCCGAGCTACGATATAGCCCTTCGAACCCACGCCGTATTGCGAAAAAGTTTGCTATGAAAGAGGCTTTCGCCAGCTGATTTGGGACAGGATCACATCGATCTTGATCTTGAGGGAACGGGCTGCATTCCTCGTGCGAGTCGATATGCTGCCTTTGCTCCAAGAACAATGGCGGTACGGGAGGGAGCCAGATATTTGGCGAGATCGAACCTCTTTTAGACGAGATAGTCGCCGCTGCTTGCGATCCTCTTGGAGCTGATGTTGGACCTCATTGGGGCTGGGGCAGATGCCAGGCTTCTTCCGGACAGCGGACAACATTTTTCTTTTCTGGAAACAAGCAGCCCAGAGACGAGCAACAGAGGGGCACAGACGAATCGCCCCCGGCAGCCCTCGGAAACGATCGAGCCAACTCCGGACCAGCACGGCAAAATGTTCCAGGCCCGAGCGGACCCAGCCCCGAAATGAGGCACGTGCGATCCTTGCCCAGAACACGACGAATCGGCCATCGGACCAATCGGGGCCGATACGTCCGACAGACATGTGTATTCAGAATCCAGGAATCGTCCCCAGGAGCCCACACAGACGCTTCGCTCTATTTTCAGACTCAGCGAGCGCTTAGTCACAGAGGAAGAGCCGATATCGCGGGGTTTAGCGTTTGGAGTTCCCTTTGGATGGGAGTCTCCCAAAAGCTGTCTGCGAGGCAAGTGACCGTGCGATTTCGCCTTTGGACCGAGGTTGTCTTTCCGCATCTCTCTCCAAGGCTTTTGCTGCAGCTGCTGCGTTGGCATCGAGTTCTTTTTGAGTGACTACCTTGAAGGTCATGTTCCGGCGACTGGTTTTCTTGGACGGGCCCGATGGCGAGCCCAGACCATGGATATCGAGATCCTCAATTTTTGAAAAGCCTGGAGCCGAGCCAGGGTCCGTGACTGCCAAGGATGCTGTGCCGCGAGCCTCTCTCAGGAAACCGAGGCTTGTGTTCAAAGTTCTTGACATCTAATATTGATTTACGACATTCAGTCGTCGTAAATTAACCCGTGTTAGTATAACTGCGAGCGCCCAAACCGGCTCCCTTTGATCTCACTGGGCTCAAGTTAGGTAAGCCAGATTTTCATGTACGGTCGGTCCAGCGAAACCCAAGAGAGGAAATCGATATACGGAGAGAAGGTAGGAAGCGTGCACCACCTCAGCGTCGGAAAAACAGCTTGCTTACATAGGAGTGTGGGTTAGCGGCTATCTTCTTCGGCCGGAGGTGTTTTCGGCGCAAATGCGGTGACGAGCTTTCGTCCAGCAGGGTGAGAATAGCCTTCCGTTCAAAATCCCCAACGTCCAAGGCACCAGGCGACGAAAAACCATGATCATTAACACAATCATCGCCAGCAAGGCTCTCATCTGCCATCTCGTCTTCCGGATTGGTGACATTCGACGACTGTCGTAAAGGGGGTTTGGCAGCCCGATGCTTCTAAATAAAGCAAGTAAATAGCGACGTCAACATCGCAGCCCACATCTGCGCGTGAGACGACAAAGCCTATAAACACGTACCAGGATCAGATTGGAGCCCAGAGGATGCTGATTGGATGCTGTTTGGGCACCGGCGCTCGAACTTGATGATGTTGTACTAATGCCGCTCAGCTGACGCGCAAGGGTCGCTCGCAAGTTCGTGACTGGCATGTAGTCATCCTCCACGAAAAATGCGGATCGGTCATTGTCAATTTCGAAGCATCTGCGAAAGGCATCTGTTTCGGATTCGGGGCCATCTGTCGGTTCCAAGTCCAAAGGGCGACGTTGAGAGTGGATTAGTGCACTCTGTCGCAATCAGTGGTGCTGCACAATATCTGCACAATATCTGCACAATATCTGCACAATATCTGCATAGACGCCCCATTGTCTCCATATACCTCTCGGCTTTCTGTCCCTGAGACTGCGTTGTTGTATTCTCATGATCCGCAAAAGCTCCTCGTCCGATTCTTCGTCACTGAGATCAAGGCCTTTGCCAACTTCCTCACGGTTTCGGCGCATCGCCCGTCGATGGAGGCTTCCCGATGTTACGTCTTTGATGAGCTCCGATGTCTCAACGTCATCGCGCTCTTTCATTTGTTGTCTGTTCGCCGAATAAAGACAACCATGAAGGCATCGTGAATCACGAATTCTCTTGGACAGTGCCCAATAGCCAGCACATGCCAAGTATCAGACGGACTTTGGATCATGGCGTGCTAAATCAATCCACAAAGCTCGGAGTGGTTGCTGGGAATGGATTTTTTGCGAAAAGCCATACTTAGACATTACCGTACCTGTGAAGCTCGATAATGTCGTCAAACGTCTCAATCTCGTCCTCGTCTCCAGAACAAACGAGGGGCTCATCATTCTGAGCATCTTCGTCTTCATCAGGCCCGCCTATTCCCATAAACTCGTCCTCTTCTTCCACGGCTTCGCCTTCAATGAAAACGGATTGCGGAGGCTTGATCGGGAATGTTGAATCCCGGGGCGAGCCCGCATTTGTTGGATAGAGTGCAGCCTCGTGTAGACGATGTAAAGTCAAGCCAGGATCCATGGGAGACTCAGCCATCAACAGGTTCTGACTCGACGACCAACTCACTGCTTCTCCCCTACGGCTAGCGAGCTCCACTGGAGCGCGATGATTTGCCTGTTGACGGCTCATGTACGCTTCGTTGCTGAGCCCCAGAAAGCCGTTCGCGTCAAAAGTCTGGGTTCTTTCACTGCTGCTAACCTCATGGCTGTCGTGGTATGCCTCAGTCCCGGTTGCGCCATCGTCATTCTCGTCAACACCATCCTCTTCATCATCGGCATCGGTTGTATGCAGATCGCCAAGGAGATTGCCGATAATGGGAGCATTTCCAAGACTACTGCCCTCGTCGTCGCTGAGATCAAATATGCGTTTTGAGCGACCAAGAGAGATTGAGTGTTCTCTCTTCATTCGCTTGGCTTGGCCATCACGACCCGCAGGCTCTGAAGCTCGTGCTTCGTCATGTCTGCGAGAGCCGGAACGAGGGGCAAACACGTCGATCACGGGCTTTACATCTCTATCACCATAACCACCATCGGCTTCATCATCGTCATCGAGGATCAAATTTGATCTTTTGTTTTGCCGACGCGATAGTGATTCAGCTGAATTTGTGGAAATGTGCTGGGTGGCTTCACATGCTGCGCTGTCGACCGCGAGCGCGGTTACAGGAATGCCTTCAGTGGTGTATGTTTGAGTCGGAGGATCACATAAAACATATCCATCTCGATCCCGCATGCTACTGACGTTTAGGCGCCTTCGAGCCGACAGCGCCGGTGTCCGTTCATCGCCGGTCTCCGAAAAAGGGGCTGAGAGCAATTGCTCAAGCTCATCGCTCATAAATTGCGAGCTTTCGGGCATGCGGGTGGCTGCACTTGCAAGTCCGCCTGTCGTTTCGCTCGGGTGTGACTTGGGTAGCGCCGTGTTGAAAAAATGAAGGAGACTGCCTTTCTTTGGAAGACTCGGCATGCAAATAGATCCAGCCTGGTTAAATTGCCGCTTGGCTAACGATTCGACGGGGTTGCTTGAATTGAATTGATTGAACCGGAAGGGATTATTGGATCACAATAAGCTCCGTGCAATTCGACCAATTCGACCAATCGATATGAGCAAGGTGGTCGTGTGCCGACGTGGATTTCAGCTCACCTCAGATCTTCATCGAAAGTACCAATGCGAGTTGTCGCAGGGTTATTAGCGGCCGGGGCATCCAAGGGCTGGGTACCGCCAATGCCCAGAGTCGATCGCTCATTCATGGAGACTTGATTGAAATGCATCTGGTTGTAATATTTTGGCCAAATAGAAATGTTACCTAATGCGAGGAACAATTCGCGAACCGGCTCGAAGAATCGATTTAATAAACTTACCAGACCCGATGCCAACAAGCGCTATATGCGTCCGACAAAACGGATTCGGATAAACGGTTGCCACATCAACGAATTAGCGCAAAGTCGCAAAGACCGCCACTGGCAGAGGATACTTCAAAAGCGTCGCACCTGACTCTCTGGTACCGTCGAGGTATTGTCGATTGTGGAATCATCATCTGCTGTCTTGGATCCTTCATGATTGCGCATATCCAGGCTCTTGGAGTTTGAATATCCATCAGCATCAGCACTATCCTCTCGAGTAACCAAGCCATCCATTGGCCAAGTGTCAGCTTGGCCGGAAGAAAATACGTCCTCAGATTCCAGAGGTGCTGAGTGCTGCCCAGTTCGCTCCAGCAATGTCGGTAAGTCCTAGAATTGGCAATGTATATGGATGGAGAGTGAGTTAAATTGGAGGAGTAAATCCTTGTCGGGATGCCCTCAGTGGACTCAGCTACCTCGGTCAGGGGCTCTGGATTGTCGGAGAGAGTGCATTGTTCTGTGCATTTTTTGGCTTTCTTTTCTTCGATGCGCGCTTTACATTGAGCTTCTTCAGTGAGCCGGCGCTCGCGCATTTGATCATGAGCCATCTTTTTAAGGCGGTTGTTTCTTTCCCTCAAGATGTCAGCAGGACTGCGGGTCATATGTGCCATTTGAGGTATTGTTTGAAATGCGACAGGAATATCAGACTTGACAGCTTGTTTGGATCGAATTCGGAGATCGACTATCTCGCACACCTCGATATCAAAATCGTGATTGTCATGCAAGTCCAGCGGGCCATCGCCGGCGAGGTTTAAATGCTCAAGATTCGTCTGTCTCAGTGATGACGAGAGCTTGGACAGTGGACGGATGGGGTGCACTGATGTAGTAAACTTCTTGGCGTTGCGCTTGTGCTCGCCGTCGGCTGGAACGATGACGTGCTTCCTCTGAGATGAACGCTCGGGAGTCTGAAGTGGGCCATCGCTAGGTACGGCATGGATAGAGATACGGGGCAGTTGATCTTTGTCCGCGAATATTGTGGGGGAATCGAAGACTCTGTCGGGCAGCCCTGGTCGGATAGATTCGATCGGCTGGGAAGCCACCTCCACTGCGAACTCATCATTAACAGCATTGCCAGAAAGCGAGGCTTGATCAGCATTGCTGGAGAAGTCCCTGATAGGATCAACAGATGGGAGGGGGGCCACGGTACTTGTCAAGTATATTTGCAGATACGAGCTGTTAGACAATACTCGTTCTCGCAAAGGAAACATGAGTCACAATAACGGCGATCAACTTACGGAGCTTTGAATTTATCCAGGAAAGTCGACATATTCATGGATCCTTTTCGGAATGGGAGTTCAATGACGGTTTCTGTCAAGTAGTGCAATTGCGGATGCACATTCAGCAGATTCGATTGTGTAAATATGGGCAGCATGCAAATCGTTGCACCGCAACACATATATATAAATATTTAGGATAAGTTAGCTCAAATTTTCGGATCCCTATTCCGTGTCGAGCTACGCCACGCAACGATGGAATTGTACCTCGCTTGATTCGCTCGGTCTCTGCCTTCAAAGCGAGCTTGGCTCTGGATATTCCCTATGTTCACGGTGACTGTTAGTAGGAACGCTGGAGAGTCCATCAAATCAACTCCAATGCTTGAAAATGCAACCAAATCTGAACGCCAGCTCTTCCCAATTATCGCTATGCAACTACCGGACCTCTAACGGCCCAAAGGCCAGGATTGAGGGACAGTATGACTAGCCCAGGAATCATGACCAAGCTTCTCGCCTGTGGTCGTGTTCATTCCTTGCATATTCACAGCATCGGCAATATACCTTTCCACTCAATTCAATGCTCTTGAAGGCGTTCGTATCTTTCAAGCGGGACTTGAGTTCAAGAAACTCTTGGAACTGATCGGCCTTCAGGACCTCGTTACCGTCAGAGTCGTATTGACTTCCATATGAGGCCGAGTCTTCACTTGCACCACCTTCTTCTTGATCTTTCTCAAACTCCTCGGTTCTCTTGGTGGAGATGGAATATCGGCCGAGCTCATCACTGCTAGTGGTCTTTGGCTCTCCCAGTTCACGAGCAACATCGTCGTCCGAAAGATCAATATCGTCCTCATAAGCTTCGAGGCGCTTTGCTTCATTCCTGAAGATATCATTGACATCCTCTTTATCTTGGACGTCCGATTTGGCGGGCTGCTCCTCAATCAGGCCGACCGACCCAGCGACTTTGGCCGGAGCGGATGAACCTTGCTCTGGGCTGTCGGTGTCGACATCTGTAACTGCGACGACTGGTGCAGAATTTTCAAAGCGTGGTGTCCGAGAATTATTTTCTGGCTCGCTGTCGGATTCCCACGAAAGGATTGAGGCATGCATGGTGGGCTTGAACCGGGGGAGAAGGTCAGCGAAGCTACCGGGTTGGTGTGCGGGCAGAGATGCGGCCGTTGTGCAGTCGAAGCACCAAGCTGTCGATGACTGGCTTTTGGTACTGGGAAGAATGGATCGCCACTGATGATCAAGATGGCCGTTTGTGGGCCGGCGACGGTTTCCTCGCTCGCCTATGTGATGACCCCTCGAAGCCAGGTGCGTTCGTATCCGGCGCCGCCGAGGCCAAGGCGAAGCCAAACCGCCCGCCCTGGTCGGCCTGGCCATTTGCCCAAATATGGACAATCACATGACTCGAGGCGACGGACGCCATTGGCGGCCAGAGGCTGCGCACGATCCCGGCCAGCCCGGGGTTGCACCCCGACAAGGCGCTGGTGGGAGCTCGGCTCGGCTCGGCTCGGCACGACCCGTTCCTCGCAGCCCCGGCCGTACCGCATGCAAGCAGAGATGATGCGCATTTATCGTATGCTTCCGAAGCGAGGATTCGCTTCGCAGGTATGAGCACAGTCGATGGGATCAATAGGGTCGCTCTTGTCGTGGCTCGGCGGCGACGGGAGCATGGTGGGCGAGGCAACTGACGATGCCAACCGTCACTCCAGACGCGACCCGATTTTGTCAAGATCGTGGAGGTTGGCCCCCGAGACGGCCTCCAAAACGAGCCCCAAAATGTACCAACGCCGACCAAGATTGAATTCATCAATATGCTCTCGCAGACTGGCTTGAGTGTCATTGAGACGACGTCATTTGTTTCCCCCAAATGGGTCCCGCAGATGGGCGATGCCTCCGCCGTTATGAAGGGCATCACCCGCGCCCCTGGAGTCTCTTACCCGGTCTTGACTCCCAACTACAAAGGCTTTGAAGCTGCCCTCAAGGCCGGTGCTGCTGAGGTAGCCATATTCGGAGCGGCCTCTGAATCCTTTACAAAGAAGAACATCAACTGTTCGATTGATGAGAGCTTGCGACGATTTGAAGACGTTTGCGAGGCTGCTAAGGAACACAACATCAAGGTCAGAGGGTGAGTTGGTCGCCATTCTGCACCCGATCTCTATGGTGAGGACACTCCTCAACGCTGTCGAAGATGTATCCAACGAGAGTATGATCTGACTGTACCAATTGTATCCAGTTATGTCTCCACCGTGGTGGGCTGCCCTTACGAAGGCACTATCGAGCCTCGGGCAGTGGCGCATGTCGCAAAAAAACTGCATGAGATGGGCTGCTATGAAATCTCGCTCGGTGATACGATCGGCGTGGGTAAGTTTGTAGAGACCGAACCAAGTCGTAGGCAACGAGAAAATGCGATACTCCCGTCCCTAACCCGAGCGTGAACATGAAAACTTTGTGCGATTGTAGGAACTCCAAAGAAATTTAGGGAGATGTTGGAGGCTGTTCAGGAAGCTGTGCCGCTGAACCAAATTGCCGTTCATTGCCACGACACTTACGGACAAGCTCTGGCCAACATACACGCCTCCCTCCAGGTTAGCCATTTCAAAAGCCACAAATGTGCACCACTCACGATCTCGAGGGGTTCCAACCGCGACACAGATGCTAACTGCCGACAAAACGCGCTGAAATCATGATTGCCTCCAAATTGAAAGATGGGCATCCGAGTGGTCGATAGTTCAGTCGCAGGCCTTGGTTCGTATTGAGTGCAGTTCATATGCACCAAGCTGCCGAGCTTTAACAATTTCATCGCCGTTGTCGCCAGCAACCGCGGCCATGGTTATGCAACCTGTGCTAAAAGCGATATCAATATTCCAGGGGGCTGTCCTTACGCCGCTGGCGCCAGCGGAAATGTGGCCACCGAAGATGTAGTCTACATGCTTCACGGAATGGGCTACGGGACTGGCATTGATCTGCCGGCTCTCATTAAGGCAGGGAATTTCATTAGTGGCTTTTTGGGAAGACCTAGCGGCTCCAAGGTTGCTCGGGCACTCACATCCAAGCTTTAGTATGAGAGAAACGAGAAATGCAACAGCTGGAGTCATTCTGACTCTGCCAGCTATTGCGCCAACCGATCGACACAAAATGGAAAGCACCGCTCAAAGTTAAGGACAAGCTAGCCAAACTCACAAAGGCCCACTCCATCTGGATTACGAACAATATACAAAGGGTTGGTCGAATCTCTATTCCCGATTGAGCCAAGGACGGTGTGGGAAGATGAGGACTCGGAGGGAATATGGTAACGGAGCACAAATGGAACAATACACAATCTTTGCAGAGATGTCTCTGAGAAAGCGCAGGACTCTGTTGATCATATGATACAGCACAGATACTTCGGCTTTCATCCTCAGTATGTCCAAGAGCAGCATCCACCGACGCCGCACCTCCGCGCCCGGTCGAGTGGGCGATGCGATTGTGGATCCGACTCGACCGATGTGAGGTCGCCATGTCTGTCAGTGGGGATTGCTGGGCGGGTGGCCAGACAATACCGTCGTCGTTCAGGTCTGGCAAGAATCATGGTGGTGGCTCCAAACAAATGGCCGTGTCGATGAAACACTTGGTAACCTCTGCTGAAGATCAAGGCCACTAGGCCATGCAAGCACTAACAACTCACCATGCAAGCACCGACAGCTCGAGAGACACCGGCTCCGAGTGCCCAACATCCACGGACGAACGATGGAGTTCCATTCCACCACCCAAGATGGCCCGAGGACACGCTTGGCTGCAGCCCCACCAGCTTCAAGCAGACCCTGACCCCGGTCACGGTCGAGTCTGCATCAGAGTCATCCAAAAGGCCAGCCCACCGGCTCAATGTCCGGTCCAGCGAGTGTCTCGCATTTGCCCAAGAGCATGCGCCAAGGCTCAACTGGAGGCCGAGGGCCTCATTGGCAGCAACCAGCAATCAACAACCAGCAACCAGCAACCACAGCCCAGACCCCATTCCAGACCCCAGCCCAAGATCACAAGGGCCAAGAACTACCCCGGCGGACCAGCGCTATCGTAATAACAGAATCCAGCGACGCCAGCATTGTTGTCCTTGAGCAGGCTTGCTCGGGAAGAAATGCGTTGATCCAGAAGGTTCCCTCCTCCCGGTCGGCTTCGGCAGTACCAGGTCGAGTCGACTGTCCATCGACAATCACCGCGGATATTCACGGAACGACGGCTTCTCTGCCTGCAGTACTGGCCGACCCCCAATCTCAGACCGATTCCACCAGCGAGTAAATCCCCATTGATGAATCGACCGGCCTCGTTGCTCCACAATTTAACCGCCACGTTGGAATCAATCGCTCACCTCCCAATCCACTATGGTGGGCGAGCTTACAACCCGGAGCTTTATCGAGAAGTGGTAATATGTGCGCCAAGAATCATGCTGAGACCAATGCGTTGGGAGCTAACACCAGTCTTGGTCACTCTGCAAGGAGCGGCCGTTCGGGTATGTCAGAACGATCAATTTGATTACTCCTGCTCGCAAAGCGTACATATGAGATTGTTCACCCAGTCGGCTTGTTCAGTTGGAAGACTGTGCCCTCCGCCAATATAAGTGTGGAGTGGACAAGCCAGAACCTTGGCTAAATGGGCGGAATTCGAAGGGTCAACGAGCTGTTCGGGGGTGCAGAGTGTAGTAAACCAGTGAGTATGGCAGTGGCACCAAATCGATTGCGATATGGCAATAAACCAATAAACCAATAAAGCCATGGATGTGATAAGCAAGCGACAATCGATCACAAGTTTCCGTCTGCCTCGGATGTACATGCCTTATCCCATGTGCCAGTGAGCACTTGGACCTTGCCAGGAAGCGATAATCGTATGGCGTTTAGCCTAGAGTCGCTCACGCTATGGCCCAACGAAGCAGCAATGTGGGCAGCCGCCCCTGCCGTGGTGGTTGCTCGTGTAAGGGTGGTTCTGTGTTTGGCGATGTGGAATATGCGCTCACGCTGCGTTGGGAATCGAGGGTCGCTCGATGCACTCGCCAAGAATCCCTAGAGAACAACCCGCAAGCACGCTCAAGTCAGCCAAGGCTTGAGCGCAATAGAATTCGCTTGACCATCAGATTGATTTGTCGCATAGGAATAATACCTGTGGGAAGACTAGCTCCATATTTCTCATCAAGCGGATATCGGGGTCCCTAATTGTGGCCACGCCGAATAGGCCAAAGATAGCACTCAGCTACAGAGGGGTATCGGAATAGCAGAATAGCGGAATAGCGGAATAGCGGAATAGCGGGGTAAGCGATGGACGTGCGCTTTATGGGCTTGCGGCTGTATCGTTCTGATGCGCGTGCGAATGTGGCTCAATGCGGCTTTGTACGGGCAGCCCGACAATCGTGCATCACAGTTGTCGCAACAGCCAATTGGCTTTGATGACGGACCTTGGGTGGTGCACCTGATTTTTAATATTCATGAGTTTGTGGGTCGGCAGTATGCAAGTCCGATGGTGAGCTGTCAGAGTCAATGCCGGTACACCCAAGATATGAATCATATGATAACAATCCATCATGTAGTTCAGCACATCGCCGCAGCGGACTCACCAGCTGTTGTTGATATCAGGGTGAGTGAGGCCAGAAACTCAGGGAACTGGGATGCAAACTCTAGGGAGATCTGAACAGGTGATGTTTGGTTTGACATCAGGCTCGAAAAAAACTGGGATTCAAATCAATGGTCGACATAACTTACCATCCCGCCTGGAGTCGCTCAGCGCATATAGGCCAGGGAAGAATTCAATCAGCACACTGCGACCAATGCCCTCAAGACCAGAGCCGTGGAGTGACAGTCTCGATATCGATTCCAGATGATGTTGACCCTGAATCCACCGATAGCCGAATCGAAAGTCATTCCAGGCCACAGCCGACTTACCCATCGATACGCCGATAAGATGGATATCGCTGCTCCAGCCGAGGTGTAAAAGCAATTCAAGGACATCCTGAGCCATCGCCGATGTCCTGTAGGCAGATAGCACAGGATTAGATTCCATCCACTAGAGGGGCTGCCGCTGGGCGCACTTGACACTGTGAGGGCTGCGTTCTGGAAAGGTGTGTCCTGATGCATGCCTACTTGTATGGGCCAGGGGGACATTCCGAGAATCCAGCACCTCTGTTGTCAAAGATGCAACACAGATAGCCTTGGGTTGACGCTAGAACAGGATACTGGTCGATGGAGGAAGTGGCCATCCAACCGCATCAGCATAAGGAGAAGCCACCGAAAGGGTCCAACGGATTTCATGGTGGAGCTACAGAAAGCCAGTCTCCTTTGAAGATTCGGTTCAAATCACAAGCGCAAGCAACCTGTTGATCCTGTGGTATTGACGGTATGGCTGATGGATGAGTCGCATGAATGTGAGGTGTCATTGAGATGGGGCCGCAGAGCCGCAGAGCCGCAGAGCCGCAGAGCCGCAGAGCCGCAGAGCCGCAGAGCCGCAGAGCCCAGCAGCAAATACAAGCTGGATTGACACCAGGCCGAATCTTTGGCGGCCAAGAGTACATACCCAAGACTGACAGGAGACACTCAAACCGGCGCTGTAATAACGTAGATCAAGCAAAGGCAAAAGGACCGAATACCGACCGCATATGTCCGAGAAGGGAGAGGTGTCGGATCGACAAGCCAGTGAGTGCTTGCGCAACGATGAGCTCTGACCTGTTGAGGCAAGGCAGCGAACAACGTTGTGCTCTGGACAGCGGCGCTGGAGAGCAAGCGGGTTGCGAACTCCTAGTCCCGATGCCAGGATATCGGACTGCATGACGTCCAGATGCACATACATGAACAAGAGTCGTTTCCTTGGCTGGAGGGTGTCACCGTGGAGCTCGTAGTAGAGCTTGAACGGCGACGGCTCTCTGCCGTGGCCAACGACGCAGTACGGCATTGAGCAGGCGGTGGTCTGGGAGGATTGGTGCTGAGCAGGCCAGCACAAGACAGCGAGAGGCCTGGATGTGGTCCGAGAGCGCGCAGGCGCACGGAACTTGTCACAACGGGGCGAGGCAAAAATAGGTCCCACCGAGATTTGAACTCGGGTTGCAGGAGTCAGAATCCTGAGTGCTAACCGCTACACTATGGAACCAAACACGGTTGCGCTGTGCGCCTGGAGACTGCGGGGATTGAACCCACGGCCTTCTGCATGCGAAGCAGACGCTCTACCACTGAGCTAAATCCCCGCTTGACCTTGATCTCAACTTTTGCATCCACAGGCACAGGCTCTCCGTCGCTCTTTTATCAACAAACCGCTCAACACTCTCAACCAACGACCCCCTCCACATGCCCCCGACCCAAACGGCCATCAACGAGATGGCCATAGACACCTCGGGCAGCTCTGCTGCCCAAGAACCAGGCCAACCGGACGAAAATCGCAGCCTAGGAAGCAACGGCCATCAGGTCAGTAGCGCCAATATCACCGAGGCCACCGAATCAGCACCCACCAAAAAGCACCGCAGGGATGGTGAGCCCATCCAGCTGCACGTCGGTCGCAAGAAGACCGTCGAAGAAATTATCGAAGAGCTCTATGCAGATTCGGCAATCTTTCCCAACCCGCCCGACGTGGTTGAAGAAAAGAAGTGGGCCCTCTCGATCCTCGAGAAGGCCAAGAACAACACTCTCACCGACCAGGACTTCATCCCGGTCGATTTCAAAGACATCACCTACCGCCGCTTTAGGTTTGTCTTCGCTCTGAAGGCAGACCAAGTTCAATGCTCCCGTTGCAGAGGGAGCAAGCCCCCCGCCTGGCGTATCGACGACGCCCAGCACTCGGTCGTCTGCAAGAACATGCTGATGAGCCCGGACGCCGCCACCAAGGTGGAAGAATGCGGGAAGCATTTTTCCATCCTCGTATTCTGGGGCCTGATGACCCGCCATGACGAAGCCGGATGGAAGCTTTTCGAACAACGGGCCTCCCTCGCCGATGCCAGGGCTGTCGGGAAGCGCGTCTGCGCCACCGACATGCGCAAGAAGCAGAGTCCCCAACAGCAGCTTCAGCACATCCAGAGTGAGCTTCTCAAGAAAGCTCAGAAGATTAACGAAGAACTCGCCAAGCTGGACCTCAGCAAACCCGAGGAAGTTGCTAGACTCAAGGCCCTGATCCAGAGCGCCACCGAGTGCATGCAGACGCTCGCCTCCGAGCTGGAGCATGCGTCCCGGGCCATCTCGGAACGCCCAGCTCCGACATCCTACGCAGCAGCCGCCCAGCGGGGTGCCAAGAAGCAGCCCGACAACAAGACAATCGACGCGCGCAAGCTGGCGGCCCTCGAAAAAGTCCACCAGGAGGCCGATGCCGGCAAGAAGAACGAGGCCATCGGCGCCATCCTCCGCGGCCGTGACCCCACCGACGGCAAGTGGCTGGTGCCCAAGACTGCCACGCCATTCAGGATGATCAGATCCTCGGTCCCTGTCGAGGAAGGACCCTTAAAGGATAGGATGGACAACGCCGCTTGGGTTTACGTCAAGGGTATCCCTCGGGGTAGCTACCGCACGATCAGACAAGCTTTCAAGGAGAAGGGCTTTGCCACCAACCAGATTCTCAATATCAGCTTTGTCAACAACAGCGTCTGTGAGTTTGTTCTCAGAGACAAGAGCTCGAGAGAAGAATTCTTGAAGCACATTACGGACATGAAATTCACTGAAGTCGCACACATGGACGTGTCGAAGATCACCGAGGCCGAGAAGGAGTCCAAGAAGCTCCAAATCAAGAGCTTCATTGAACGCGCTGCCAGGATATGTGCGGAATCCAATGACCTCCTCACGGCGACCTTGTACCAACGGAAGATGAACGACCCAGCCGTCGCCGAGCAGATCACTGCTAAGGCGAAGGAACTGGCTCGCAACAAACCAGGCCGCCAAGAAAAAGGCGGACGCGAAGGAACCACTCCTCCCCGCAAATGATGCAGCCCCAACCTACGCCCACTATTAGGTTCGCGACCCTGAATGTCTGCGGACTTGAAACCTCTATACACGAGGTTATCGAAATGGTAAAAGCAAAAGACCTCGACTTTATAACAGTCCAAGAAACGTGGCTCAAACCACAGCAATCCATCGGACCTTACAAGAACCTCATAGTTTTCGAAACCCGAGAGCCATATGTCTCTGTCGACGGCCTCGCAAGAGGCACCGGAGGAATCGCCCTCATTCGGAACCCGAAAACCACCAACCTCGAAGACTTTAGCAACTTCCGCGTTGGACCTCATCACACGAGCATCTGGTTCAAGTTCCGAGGCATCGTCTTTGGATCTTTCTACCTCAAGCCTGCTCTATCAGCCAATGCGGCAGCCCTGCAAAAGTTCCGAGAAGCCCTGTCGGCCATCAAGACCAACACCACAGAAATGAACAATCCTATCCCATCTGTGATCATGGGCGACTTCAACACCCGCATGGGCCAGACAAGCAGAGACACCCATGAAACCGCCAACCGTTTGCAACCACTGCGGACAGCTGTAGCGGGCGGCTTCCTGGAATTCGTGGATTCGACCAACCCCACGGGGCAACACTGGACCCACGTCGTCAACGGGAAGAAACCACAACACTCAGTACTGGACCTCTTCTTTGTCTCGACGGCACTGAGACACAACGCCAAGACGGTGACGGTCCACTCCAACGACACCTGTAACTCAGACCACCGCATGGTGTCGATGGAACTTGAATGGAACGCCGCCAGAGAGCCTGCCCGCCCACCAATCCTCGTGTGGCGAACCAACAAGCTCGAAGATCCCGAAACCCTCCAGCAATACACGGAAGCCTTTAGAGTCCACCACCCAGTAGTCGTAGAGCAGATCACACAGCTGGGAACCCGGCTACCACAAGAGGATGGACCCATGGCACGCGAAGACGCCGAAGCCCTCGTTGAATCTGGGTGGAATATCATCAAGAACCACGTCACAGCGGTGGCACAAATCGTCATTGGGAAGCGAAAGAAGGATGGCCCGGCTCCCCGCAACGGCTTTTGGACACCGGAAATGGCTGACATCAAGAAACGACGAAACACGGCTTATCGAATCGTGAACCAGTCGCCACAAGGCTCGAGAATCCAACTGCAGGCCATGGCCGACTACGAAAACATGAACAACAAACTCAAGGACCTCATACGACGACAGAAACGCGCCTTCTACAACACCTGGGCCCAGTCTCTCTCCACCAAATCGGACTCTGAGCTCCTCAAGGAAATCAGCAAGCGAGACAAGGTCAAAAGCGGCTTCTTCAACCGGTCGATTCTTCCGAACGACCAAGACAGCATGGACCAGTACCGGGCCCACTTTGGGAACATCTCAAGTCGTCTCGGTGTTCAAGAAGCCAACGATACACCGCGTCCTCAGGAAATACTATTCAGTCGCCTCTTGGGCCGCGAAATCACAGCAGAAGAAGTAAAAACAGCCATCCGACGCATGGGGAAACACAAGGCCCCTGGGTCCGACGGGATCAGTGCCGAGCTCCTACACCCAGTAACCGACCAAGTCTCGGATTGGCTGCGTCAGCTCTTCAACTGGTGCATGTGGACCGGCATCGTCCCTCAAGAATGGAATGTCGCCATCAACCACCCCATCTGGAAGAAGAAGGGCGAAGAAGAGGACATCAAGAACTATCGCCCGATCTCTCTGCTACAAGTTGTCCGAAAGGTATTCGAAAGGATCTTACATAGCCGACTCCTCCAGGAGATGGGCCCCATCGACATCTCCCAAGGAGGCTTCCGCAGCAACAGGGGAACCCTGGACCAGGTATTCGCACTCGATTCAATCGTCAAATTCCTACAGAACGACGGCCACACCCCGTGGATCGCGTTCATGGACATCAAAGCCGCGTACGACTCAGTTGACCGGGATCGGCTCTGGCACAAACTCGAGCAACGAGACATCCCCCCGCATACCATCCGCATCCTACGCGCGCTCTTCGACAACGTGACCACCGCTGTTCTCGTGAGCGGCACCAAATCCCGGCCGTACTGGCTGGAGATCGGGCTGCTGCAAGGGTCGGTTCTTTCACCCACCCTCTACAGCCTCTTCATGGATGACCTCGCACAGAACCTACGAGCAGTCACATCACCCAGAATAGGGAACCTCATCATCAACAATGTCATGTACGCGGACGACATGGCGTTGGTAGCAAAAAACCAGGAAGACCTCCAAAGACTTGTTGACATCTCCGAAGCACACGCAGATGAAAACAATTACGCTTTCTCTCCGACCAAATGCGAAGTGCTTACCGCGGAAGCAAACCCGACCCCAATCACACTCAAGGGAACACCTCTTAGCTTCGTCACCAGCACCTACAAGTACCTCGGGGTGCAGTTCGGCCCTGATGGCATCGACGCAGAGGCCCACGTCACTCAACTAAAGCACAAAGCCCAGTTCCGAACCAAAGAGCTCAAGGAACACGGCATCTTCAGCAAGTCAGTCTACCCTGGACTGATCGTCAAAATCTACAAGGCTTTCATCCGGCCCCGTCTGGAGTACGGCCTTGCCATCGTCAACATGAAGGGCCCGATAATGAACACTCTACAGGGGTGCATGCTGGACACACTGCGATCGGCACTCAACATACGCCAGAACGCGTCTGGTCCGGCTGTCATGACAGCCACAGGAATCTACACCATGGCGACCAGAAAACAGATACTGATGATCAAGTGCTTCGGACGGTGGTTCGACAGGAAAGACGACCCAGGATATCTTGGATCCCACGTGCTCAAGTACATCACCGAGTTGCCCCCAAGAAACCCAAACAAGAAGATACTCTCCAAGCTGACCGGAAGCGCCGCATGGAAGGAGCTCGAGAGACAGCACCGAGACTCCCCAGACAGAACAAGACTGGACCTGTTTGAATCTGGAACTGGCACCGGCACACCCATCAAGAAGGCGGTGATCGTTCACAGTTTTGAAAAAGAGCGGAAGCCCGAGAAAGTAATGTCGATCGCAGGCACCTACAAGTGGGAAGGCGACCCCATCCTGACAGCGCGGATGCCAGTAGCAACAGTTGCCCAAGCAAGGAGAATGCTCCTGTGGCGAGTCGGGTGTTTCCCACCTAAACCCGACAAGGAGTGCAAAAAGACCGGACCCAACGGCCCCAAGGTGTATGTCAACAGAAAACACGCAGCAGAATGTGTCCGAGCCAAGGACCGACTCGAGAAATATGTTCACCCCACATCGATCCCCGAAGGCATCACCTACATCGACCTTGCAATCGACGCACTCCCCAAGTTGGCTCGAGTGCCAACAAGACCACTCACCACCGATCCTGAAAAACAGAGAAGATGGCGTGCCAAGCGCAGCCGAGTACTGAACAACAGACCAGCGATCTGGCTGGATGTCGTGGCGGTGCTGGATGACATCGCAACCAAATGTCTGTCGTGGACAGCGGCCCCTCGGGCTGACCAATCGCAGCAAACAAGTACCTGAGAAAGAAACCCTCCCAGACGCATGAGCAGACACTTGGACAGGGAAGCCGGAGCTGGAGTCCCAAACTGTCACTGAATGGATGAGTTCGGCAAAACTTGACATCGCCGTCCCTCCGCAAACAGGCCCCATGGGATAGAGAGCTGTACACCGACGACCCAAATGTCCCGGTTGGCAAAGCCAACACCCAGTGCCAGAGCCCAAAAGGGACGCTAAGGCAAAGTCTTTAATAAAGACCCACCTATTGACTGAGCTAAATCCCCCACGTCGTCATCGGGCAGCACTACATTATATTACTATTCACTTTGCCTCATGCGCCACCGCGCAGCACAGCCACACCCCGCCCTCGCCCCGCCCTCGCCCTCTCCTCCGCCCCGCTGTGCCGCCGCCCTCGGCTGCCGCCTTTGGTTGCCATTCACACATCTCCCACCATCCACACATCTCCCACCATCAACAGCCACCACATCCATATCCTTCCATGTCGGCCCCGCTGCAAGCTCCTCGCAAGACCCCTGGCCGACGAATGATGGAGAGGCTAGTGCCTTTGGCGCGGTCGCCTTCAAAGCCTCCTCCCAAGTCGCTCCCGCCACCCAAAGAATCGGCTGATCAAAAAGAGCCCGATCCGCCAGTCTACTTTGAGCTCGTGCCAGCCGGAGACCCGGCCAGGATCTCGCTCCTCCCCGTCACCAGCTTGAACTACTACTCTCTTGGCTCGCTCTCCGTCGCGGCCGATCAGGAGCAGCATATCCCCTCCAACTGGAAATCCATTGCACAGGGCTTCTATGAGCCCGACGCCTGGATCCGAGGCATATACTTCACGCCCAACAAGAAGATCGCATATCCCTCTGGCCCAAGTCAGGCCGTGGCCACTCTGATCCAGAATCTGTCGTCCCCGACTCCAGCTGTCCATTCAACACTTCATCCGACTCGCCGTGCCTCGGCCCTCAAGTCGCTGGCAACGTTCTCATCCCTGCCCTCGCTCTCGAGCGTTTTGTTCCAGCAGCCGGGCGCCCAATCCTCAGCCCGCGGCTCAGAGCCCTTGCTTTCGCCGGCACAGCAGCTGTCACTTAACCCCCAAGAAGACGCCGTGCCAGTTGGTCTCGTAATGCTTTCGCTACCAGAAAACATTCAAACGCGCAATCCTTTTCTGTGGAGGCTGATGATTGACAAGCGCTATCAAGGCAAGGGCTTTGGACGGAAGGCTGTTGAGCTCGTGCGGAACGAGGTGCTCAAGTTTCTTCCGGAAGCTACCCACTTGGATGTAAGCTCTATAGTACTGCTTAGCCCACCGCTATCGGTCATTTGACAGCACCGCTCGAGTACTGGGGTTGGTGCTGAAAGTGCCTGGATGGGTACACTTGCATCCCTGACACATTGCTGTCATGATCTTCAGACATGCTGCAAGATATCGCACCTCGACTCAAGTCCCTTGGCCTTTTTCCATAAAGTTGGATTCGTTCAAAAGCCCCCATCTCCGTCCGAGAGCGATATCGCCGACCTTGTTCTTGACTTATTTGATGGATTTGAAGAATGAAGACATCTCCCACCATCACCATCACCATCACCATCACCATCACCATCACCATCACCATCACCATCACCATCACCATCACCATCACCATCACCATCACCATCACCATCACCATCACCATCACCATCACCATCCCCATCACCATCACCATCACCATCACCATCACCATCACCATCACCATCACCATCACCATCACCATCACCATCACCATCACCATCACCATCACCATCACCATCACCAGCACCAGCACCAGCACTAGCACCATCATCACTGTCCAAAGATGGCTATCGAATCGTGTTCTGCAACCTGCGACCACTTCATCCATATCGAGTTCCGCTCAGCTTCTTTTTTGCATAATTTTGATATATCTCGGTAGCACCTGCTTCCTTTCATGACACGATCGACCATGGCTTCGCTCAGACGAGATATGGCATCGCACTGAACGCGCGTCGTGATGCTGCTGGTGAGGGGCAGAGTGAGCTGTAGCGCTCGCAAGATGCACCGGGATGACCAGATCTTGCCGCCAAAGGCCGCTCGTTATGGATCCTGGACTCACACATGTCCATAGAGTCTCTACAACCCTAGCAAAGAAATGGGGCATGTCTCGTGTCCAGTAGATTCACTATCTTCACACCAAGAGCGACCAGAATGGCCCACCATACTTTGTTCGATCGTTACAACTGAGATAGGCGGTATGTACGGGGCATGTACGGGGCATGTACTGGGCATGTACTGGGCATGTACTGGGCATGTACTGGGCATGTCTGCATCGACGGCATGCATGTTGTTCTACCAGCCAGGCTTGTGTGGTAAATGCGTTGTAACTCAAGCGAGCATACGTATTTCGTTCCTCATGCTATACCCGTCGCCGGTTGACATCTAGCTTGGAAGCTGGGCCGGGATCGAGCGCATCAGCATTCCTTCCACCAACTCAAAACAGGTGTTTGCTGATGGGTTCGTGGCGCCACCAAATCCCTGGCCCTCTCCCACGTCCAAGGAGTCGATTTCATGCATAATGCCGACTCTCTGGGAAGATGGGTGGCCCGCGTCCGCAATCGACCGAACGCCGTAAAAGCTCTGAAGTTCGGACTTGAGGCTTGCTTCATATTCCAACCGTGCTCGAACTTGACCTTCCGAGTCCCTGTCCTTCTGGATCCAAGAGTCCAATTCGGCGGCAGTCACTTCTGATGGAAGATGGTCGGTGTGGACAACGCGCCCAGTTTCTGGATCAAAGCGCCGCTTCGTCAATCTTGACAAGCACACTTCGGCCGGCGTTTCCAGCCATATAACCCTTGGAGATGAAAAGACAGCAGCACTCGTCAGTCCAAACGACACGAGCTGAACATATCAACAATCCCGCCGGAGCAAGTCGCCGCACCAATTGTTTCGAGCGATCCAATAACGTCCTCCTGGATTTGGCTTTGTCCATATTTCGTCAGACCTTGGCAACCCTCAGTGCTCACCGGTTTGGCATAATTCCTCGACTTTGCAACTCCATCGCCTGAGCAGTGGTGCGAGGGAATCCCTCAAGAATCCATCCTTTGTCGACGCAGTCCGACGACTTCAAGCGCTTGATTATCAATTCAATGATCAAATCCTCGGGTGCTGTGAGCAAGGACAGAGCATGCCCATGTCTCGCCTCAGTCATAGATAAGGGAAACGAGAGAGCAAAGCGCTCGTCTGTCGCCAAATTCAGCGACCTCCGTTTTTTTTTACCTTCCTCAGCGCGATCGACAAAGGGGCGCAGAACCTCGGCGTTGTTCCCTCTGTTTGAAATTTCGCTCAATATTGCCAGCTTTGGCGAAACTACAATGTCCAAAATGGTATCAATTATGGTAGGGTTTTCGGACCGTATTAGTGTCGCCAGGCTGGTGTTGATAGATATTCGGGCCGATGATACAGCTTTTCAGCTCAAATATGCTCTCCGTTGACATTTAGCCTGCCCAAAATGGTGATGTTGGCCCCAGCAGAACTTGCCATACTACAATGTGCTTTAAACCAAGTTGTGGAAGTTTGTCCCTCCCCCTCGATGTCATCGTTGGCATGGCCATAGAGAATCTGCCGAGTACTTTCAATCCACGCATATTGTACACAATCCACGCATGTTGTACACACTCTCGATACATCAAATCTTGAGACCCGCCACCGAGAACACCCTATGAAAGACAGACCAGTTGCGCGTGCGTTTGTGTCAAAGCACTTACCATGTATAAATCCGTATTTTTGGTGGAGCATGTGCGCGATCGTTGTCTTGCCACATCCAGTCAGCCCCATCAAAATGACCCGGTGGCTGCGTGGCGCTCGGGACTCTCTCTTCATCCCTAGATAGAGCAGAACCTGCTTCAGCACCTGTCGCTCATTGCCAAAGATGCCTTGATCAAACTTGAAGTTGCGGATGAAACCTCTAAAGCAGGCTTTGATTCCTGGGATATGGCGATGATACAGCGCTAAGCGGGCGCGAACAATCGGCTCGCTATCGTGAGCCTTGGAAACCAGCCGAGCTTCCACCATGGGATTTGATGGCGGTGGATCAACTTTAAGATGGTACATCTTGGAGGTCACCGGATCGAAGCGTAGGTTGCTGAGATAATCAACAATGGTATCGTCGGGAATCTCAAAAAGTACTGACTCAGGAGGAGGATAATTCGACAATATGGACACGTCAGGTTGGAGCATTTCAACCGGGGCTCCCTTCTCCATCAAACGCTCACTCGGCTCCTAATGAGACAAAGGTTGGTTCTCGCCAATAACAAATACAGTCAGGACGATGACCTCATCAAGCAACTGCGTCCAAATAATCCCCCCCCCAAAAAAAAACAGTTTGAATAGAGAAAAATAGTAGCTACTCGTTGGAAAATATCGTGTTTTGTTAATGGATCGAGCAGAGCCTGCACCACTTACTGATGTGTTCGGGAAGTATACCCTTTTTTTGCATCCCAAATGCCTGCTCTTTGGTTCGGGGAAGCCCTTCGAGAACATATCCTCGCTGAAGGACGTCGGCATCTTGAAGTCGCGCAGTAACAAGGCCGAGAATGATAACGTCCGGCACAAGCTGTCCCTTCTCCATATACGGCTTGGCCTGGACACCTAGAGCCGTCTGCTTCTCGATCGCGACCCGAAGCAAGGCAGAAACTTGGATATGGACTGCGCCATACTGCTTGGCGATGCTGGAGCACTGGCGAGCCAAGCAATCAGTCGAGGTGTTACAAATTTTAAACTCTCCGTGTAGGGTATTTCATTAAATAAGGCAGATCTAACTGAACCGACGGCAAATGGCGTGGGATAGATGGAGACTTATGCGGCAAACGCGTGCGGGGATGGCTCACGATCGAGACTCATCGACTGTGGCGTGGCGGCGGGTCCCCGCTATCTGCAAGGGGCTTGGGAGGGACACCGGGGGTTGCTGGACGACAGTCGCACAGCAAGTTGCAAGCGCTCAAGAGACCGATTGAACCTCGAAGGACAAACCAAAATCTGGGACGGGCACCCATGCAGTGTGGTGCGGAGCAGACCGAACGCGTCCAACAAACCGCAACGGATCAACTCACGATTGTCGACTCTCCGGAGGCTGGTGGGCTGACGACCACGATGGACGGAACTGGGGATGAAGTGGAGATGCATTGGTTAAAGCCAAGCATCGTGGGTCTCTGGACACCGAACCCTGGTGTGTGTCCAGGATGTATGATCCTGAGCGCCAGATACTCATTGCCTGCTGGTGAAAAGTCCACCCGGGCTCTACCCTCTCTTTCATATCATTCATGGGTGCATGCTGGAAGTAAAAAGCAGCAGAGTGGACTCATACTCCTGGGCTTGGGGATGTTTTCAATGAGGAACTGGTGGATGTCGCTGGGACGCTCGATCAGCATTTTGGAGACCAAATGCTCAAAGAGCTCGAAGAGCTCATGTCGATCGGCATATGCCGCAAACTCCTGCATTCGCTCGGCGGTGACGAGGTCGTGCATCGCGTCGAAAGCTTATGTGCTGAGCAGGCGATGGATGAGCAGCAAAGGAGTGAGCCGGAAGCGCCGGGATGACACGTCCGAGTGGATTTGTGATGCGTTTGTTGGGTGAGGATGTGCTCGCAATCAAGCCTCGTGAAAACAGATTCAAGTCGAGCGGGGATAGTCGCAGAGCCTGCTCGCCGAGAATGCTCAGCAAGCACTCTTGCTGTCGGGGCAGGGGTGCGGAGCTGGCCCGATCAAGCCCAGTCGTCCTGCCTCGCACAGAGGCTTCAATCAATCATCCGACCAGCCCGCCAAGACACATCACCGCCCGCGACGTTGTCGGTGGGCGAGCCCACGACATGATACTGAATGTCCGCTTCCCGATGTCGATGGCGAATGTTCATGCGCAACAATGGGGCGAAGGCAGCGCCGCCGGAACCATGACCGCGCTGGACCTCTGCCAAGAGCAAACCGGCCCAATGACCACATCCCGCCAAGATCGCCTCTCGGCCCAGGCTCCACAGCAGACTCATGGCGAGAACCGAGAAGACCCCCGCTGTGTTCTCGCTGTGTTCTCGCTCCCTTCCCGCGGGCATGGCCTCGCGCCAAGGCGACCCAAAAGGCCCCTGTTCTCCTGCCTTTGGCTGCCTTTTCCTCCTCCGATCTCTTTCCGCCCCATCGCCCAGCGAGCCGCACCGGGCTGCTCGTCTTATTATTACAGCTGCTTCCCGCCTTCCAACAGACGCATCTGCTCTGATCGTCTCAGTATCTGCCTCATATCGCCCAACGTAAACTCACAGCTTCGTCTTGAGCATATCTACTGTGCCCCCCCCCAACGATCGTCCTTACAATATGGCATTCAAAGACGAGCTCAAGAGCGGAAAGTTCACCATCTATGCCCAATGGTACGTCAGACTCGGTTTGCTGCTGGAGGCCTCGGGGCTGTTGCTCGATGCAGACCGGAGCCATTCTTGAAGCGATGGCCGGGCTCCACCCTTGTCGAACGCCTCAGACCCAAGCCGCGTTTTCGGTTCCTGCACTTGATTCCGCACGGATCATGGGCTGCCGGAATGCCGTTCCAATGGCCTTCTATTCTCGCTCCTGGGCCCTCTCCATTTCCACACACTGCCTGCTCCGTGTGACCGAGGGATATGTAGGACATCGCGCATTATGGGAGCCTCAATGGCCCAGACCAGGGTGCCGAGGTTTGATCGTGACTAACTCTGTTGATATCTACGCTTCCCAGGGCCTCTTTGCTGTCGATCTTTTGTATGTGATCAGCTGTGGCCTTACCTGCCTCCTGGCCTCTGTTGCGCGACCGGCCCCGACTGTCTATTGACGCTGGTGCTCTCTCGAATCGCTCAGTCCTGGTCATTCTAGGCCTGTCCAACTTTTTCTCATTCGGCGCTCTGTCGTCGCTCCTAATCTTCATCATCATTGCGTGGTATGTCCCTGGCAGGCTGACTACGTCACTCAAGTCGCTGTTATCTCCGCCAATGCTGTAACCCAAGTGCCTTTATTATGCAGGGTCGAAGCAGCCGTAATGATCTTCCTGGAGGTTCCTATCCTGACAAAATGCTGTCCTGCTGGACCGCGATTGTAAGTGTGCCGCAGAAATGCGAGATCATATGGGCTTGCGCATATTCAAGACCGCCACACCCGACGGGACGCTGCTGAGTTTGATCCGGAAACGCCTGATCGTTGCCTCTGCTCAGCTTCCGAGCGTGCTTGGACGTACGAATCGACTGTGAGCAAGAGATCGGATGCGTTTCGATATCTGCATGACTCTAATCTGCCTCCAACAATCCAGTTCTGCCTTCCTCGGCTTTTTTGAGAGCACCGTCTTCCGCACGGGCCTGTATGCTGCGTACGTTTGCCACCCAAGAGAGCGATGTGTGATCATGTCATAGATATGGATCGGGCTATGCGCCCTCTGTGCATTCGCAACGACACGGGTGCTTGACTTGCGCTTCCTTCCGTGCGTGTCTCGGTGCTCGATGCAACCACTGCATTTTTGACCTTTGGCGTGCTAACCACGAATTCCACAGCTTTGCCGTGCTCATGTGGCTATCGCTGCTTTCCGGTGCGTCGTCGCTTCTCGTCTGTGCCATCACCCTGACGGCCACAGCCGGTTGCTACAGTAAGTTGTGGGAAGCGAATCGCGTGCTCCGCGAGCACATGGGACGCAAGCCGACGGTGTGATGTTTGGTAGCGCTTATGGAGTGCAGGACTTGGATGCCGATTTTCTGCTAACTACTGCATTGCGTTGAACTATTGCCAGCCATTGCCATGATCAAGCGCGAAGGCATGGAGAGAAGCAGTATGCTCGGTGGCCAAGGCGTGGTGTAAGCGGCTGTGGGACCGTCGTTGGGTGCATCAAGACTCTGCCCATGCTGCTCATACATGCGGCTGCGTCGGATGGGCTTCAGCAGGTGCCTCTAATACATTTAGTCGGTCAAACGGAAGCGTGACACCCCGGACATGTGCACGGCTATGGATGAGGCGGAAGGCGATGTTGACTGAGGGCTGGTCTGCGAGTTGGGCACGGAGAACCAACAGCCGCCACAGCGGCGAGGCGGCTGGTCCGAAAATAGAAAGCGCGAGGAACAGGGACAGGGTGCGTCTGTGCGACACTGAGTCGCGGAAGCGCGGCGGACGTGTGTCTGTGCGTCCGCCGATTGCGCGCCGGTGCAAGCTCGCCGACAGCCGAGTGCGAGTGTGCGGATGCGGGCATGTGCTGTCGTGCCTGTGACAATCGCAACCGAGTTGCCAATGTCGATGCAATCAATATGCCATTGGCATGGGATTGTCATGCAGCCGATATACTGCGGAAACGGTAAGTGGTCAGAAAACTCGACGGTCGATACGGAGGACAGCTTGTGCAGTCCTTCCGACAGTCGCTTGGTTTATGTTTGGTTAATGTTTGGCCTATGCATGGCCTATGCATGGCCTTTGCTTGCAAACTACCCGCCTGCAAACCACCGCCTTCCAACGATTTCCCACTCCCAGCTGCACACCAGCAACCAAACCATCAAGCACCATCGCCAACCAGCGATCAACTGTCCGCCAACTGTCGCCAACTGTCGCCAACTGTCGCGGCCTGCACCTCCCCGCCTTCGCCGCGTCCACAGTCCTGTCGCTATTTCGGTCGCCAAACACCGGCGCGGTGTCACACGCTCGCTGTGCGCACCGTCGTGGCCCGCCGTGTCCGTTGCCCCAAGAAGGCGCCGTCGCTTGCCTGGTCAAGCGCAAAAATCGCCCGCTTCGATCGCCATCGGCCTTCCTCCCATCTGCCCATCTGCCCGTCTGCCCGTTGCCCGTCTGCTTGGATTCCGCCGACGGCCCTCTCCCCTCCCTCCTCCGGCACTATCTCGCAGGTACCTGTGTGTCCAGGGTAGGTCAGTGGCCCGCCCGTCCGTCCGCTGTGCTCCGCGGTGCCCCTGTCCCTCTCTCTTTGGTTGAATACCAGAGTCTGCCAGCCCGTGCCATTCGCTCGCCTGTCTGCAGTGCCCGGTTGCTCCGACAGTCGACCTTTCATCTTTCGTGCTGTACTGATGGCTGCAATTTTATCTATGTTACCTCCCCGCCCCCTCCATCGACGCCTCGCCTCTCAGCTCCTCACGGGAAGAAGCTGCGTCTGTTCCCTCATCTGCCGCTGGTGCTCTGTGGTTGCTCGTGTCTATCATCCTCGGGCGGTTTGCAAAGCACCCTGCCTCGGTCGGCAGCGACATTTGTCCAGAGAGCCAACAAGTGACTGGTGACAAGTCTCCGCCCCTGACGGCCCCGCTGCCCACGCCCCGCTCTTCAACGCGGCAGCGCTTGTATTCGGCACCTTCGCACCCAGTGTCTGTCGGAATCCATCGGCACCGCAGTTGTCCGCCTCCCCCCCCTTATTCACTATCCGCATTGGCAACTGCTCCAAGCTATTTGAATGTCGTGCTTCTCTTCGATGGGTTTATTTGGAAGTATCTTCTCGTCCTCGAAGCGGACGCAGGCCAACATCAATCCACCCGGTCTGATCTTTATTCTCGATGACCCCATAACTGGAGAGCCTCTCTCGACCTCGAATTCGTCGTCGGCCAACGCCGTCGTCCCGTCGGCCAACTTGCCCCCGACATCGGCCTCGTCTTCGGGCCTTCGTCATGGCCAGTCGGCCTCTATATCTTCGTCCCGCATGAGCTCGCCATCAATGTCCCGACAGACAGGCAGCCGGGAGGGCTTGCGGAAGCTCAACAACGTCGCCGTCCACCAGACAGCCAAAATGAATCTAAGCGAGCGGTGCATTTCCCCAACCTCTCCGATCCCAGTCGACCAGCCCCTCCCCTCTGTCGCCAACGAAAAGGCGTCCGACACCTCGATTGAGCCGCTGCTGACAGGCAAAATCGTGCTGCCCTTGAACTACCCGCTGACGGACCTCGCATCTCTTGTCGTAACGTTGTCTGGCTTTCTTGAAATCGACGTTTCAGGTCTGTTTTCGGCCGCCTCTTCAAAGTCCAAGACAACAAAGTCGGACGAGGCGAGCCTGTTTGCCCAGAAGCAACGAATGCAGGTCATCAGCGAGTCCATCCGCCCCTGGACGGGCGATTCGCTCGAGGGCCGACCCCAGGAGTGGCCAATCAGCATCCGAACATTGCAACATCAGCTTCTCCCGCCAAGCTTTTCGACCTCCCACTCCAACCTGCACTACAGCCTCTCGATCGTCTTGAGACGGAAAAATGGCTTCAAGGACCTGGTTCTGAATCAACCCCTCGTCCTGAATCACACACGGAACCCCGATGCCCCCAAACCCGGTGTCAAGATGGTCTCGGGCCAATCCGGCCCGTTTGAATACACAATCACTCTCCCAAAGGAGGCCTACGCTCAACAGCACGAGGTCAAGCTTGTTATCAACCTGAAGTTTAAAAAGGATCAGGTCCTCGCAATCAAGCAGACCCTATGTTGCATTTGGGAGCAACGTACATTTACGTAAGTGGTGGCCATGTCGAGGTCGGTCGTCTCGAGCTCGGCCACGAAAGGCTTTGGCATATATCGTTATTTTTTTGGGGGGGGGAGAGCTACCTTCTGTTTGCCTCGTGCGGCTTGCACTCTCGTCCTCATGGGACTGGATTTTATGTTCAGCGGATGTGTTTGATCCAATTTGTGACACGCTCGTCCTATGCTTACCGCCCTCCCCCAGCTTGCAATCCACCGTTCCAACGTTTGACGAACACGGCAATCCAGTCGTGCGGAAGATTGCCCAAGGCGGCCCTCTCCGGTGGTCGACGCCGTACTTCCAGCCGGCCGCGTCCAACCACTCGAATCTCGCCCTCGCCAAACCCGCTGCAAGCGAGACGGATCCGGACGCGAATATCGATGTTGTCATCATGTCCTTTACAGCACCTTTGGAAAGGGCCATGCCCGACATCGACTTGGAGGGCATGATGGTTGCTCACCGACTCAAGTTCAAGATCGAGTATATACCTGCACCGGTAGTTGTCAAGCCACTGGTCAACGAACCTAGCGAGGCCAAACAACTTCCTCAGCCGCCGGCCGACAACTTGGTCGCCGAGCCCTCAGCTACGATCCAGCCGTCCAACTCGGACAGCACCCTTCCTGTGGAAGCCAATGGCACGGAGGCCTCCGTCGATGGAGACAGCGGCAACACGGTGCCAGTCTCTGGTGAAGCTGCTGATCCCGTCCCTCCCATGAAAGCCAGCATCCGAACATCTCCTGAGCCTGCAGATGCCCAGGCCGTATCCCAAGAGGTTGCTGGTCCCAGAGACAACCAAGCTGCCTTGCAGCCGACGGAGCCCCATCCACAGGGAGACGATGCTGCAGTGATTGTCGAGCCAGAAGCAGAGCCGGGCGTACTCGCCGTCGACGCTCCTCCTGTGCTTGCCGAGCCCACGTTGACACTACCAGCGCCAGCTGTTCCGACTGTAATAGCCAGTACGCCCGAGGTTGCTTCGAGCGAGCCCGTTGCAGCTCATCCGCGAAAAATTCAGCGAGAGGCATCGCAAACTGACACCCCCGTCACGCCCTCTGCTCTTCCGTGGGCCCCTATCCGGAGCTCGCCGCACCAAGCCTTTGGCGGTATCCGTGCTGCTTTGACGGGCTCGCCAAAGCTGACGCCCGTTCCTGCATCTTCGCCGTCGTTCTTTTCCAAGCCCAGTACTGCGACTGTGGCTATGACTGCGGCTGCGGCTGCGGCTGCTTCGGTCGAAGAGACTACCGTCATCGATACAGTGACCGAAGAGATCGAAATTCCCTTCAAGGTCGTCGCTGGACTGATTAGTGTCACATTTGGATAGACTCCAGGGCCATCGCAAACAGGGCCGCTGCTTCTTTTGCAACTGCTGGTCGATGCGAATGCTCGCATCAAGCCGCGTCTGAGATACTGTTATCGATAGAAGCTTCCTTCCTGCAATTATTGACCTGCGTTTATTTCACCTGTCCTGTTTGCCTCTGCGAGTGCGATGCGAGTGCGATGCGAGCGCTCGTGCGTTCGCAGCACCAGCGTGCCTCCCACTCACCTCGCTCTCTTGCTCTGATTTGTGCTTTCTCGTTTTGCGCTCTCTCTCTCTCTCTCTCTCTCTCTCTCTCTCTATCAGTTTGTTTTGTTTCATTTTTTTTTTTGCAATAGCATTCACAGAAACACCAGGAACACTCCATCCGAGCTCATCTGCGAATACTTTTTTTACGGACCATGAATACACACGTCCGTCTCGTGTGGCCAAGGGCATGGCCCTGGAACGGGCTGCGCACCCACGTGCAGGCGCACGTGTCCGCCGCCGCGTTCAGTTCCGGTGTCGGAGATTGGTGCCGATGCTGTCTCCTCGGTGCGCTCTCGGTGCGCTCTCGGTGCGCTCTCGCTTGCCTCTCGGCCCGCCCCAACAGCCAATTTGGGCGGGGCGGTCTCGCCAGCGGTCTCGCTCCTTCGCGGCCGATTCCGAGCTGCTGTCCGCCGGCTTCTGTCTCCATCCTGCCCAGCCCTGCCCAGCCTCGCGGATCGTCTTCCTGTCGCTTGATCTATCTGTGCACCTTCTCCTCCAACCATGTTCCCGAAGCTCATTGCCCAGCGCGCCCATGTCGGTTTCCAGGCCAGATTTTTCTCGGTCTCACGGGGTATGTGAGCCAGCACGAGAACCCTGCCTCTCCACAACCTCGAAGATTGGGCGACAGGCCCTGCTCTTCATATGCGGCTTTATCTGTTCCCGATCTTCCCCCCCCCTTCTCACTTTTCTCTCACTTCTCTGCCTTGCACCGACGCTGCCGCCCTGACTGGCCATCTCCCCTTCCCTCATCATTTCCATCACAGTGAGCTCATATGAGCATATTCTGTCTTCCACCAAGGGACGGGTTGGCCTGATCACCCTGAACCGCCCCAAGGCCCTCAACGCGCTGTGCACTCCTCTGATGCACGAGCTCAACGATGCCCTCGGGAAGTTCGACTCGGACGAGAACATTGGCTCGATTGTCATTACTGGCAGTGAGCGTTCCTTTGCTGGTGAGCTGCTGCCTGTTTTCTTTGATTCTGCGTGGTCCTGGCTGGGAAGGAAGCTGCTTTTTATCTTGCAAGTGCCACGGGGTGGGTCGAGAACAGTGGTCGTCCGGGCTCCGCAACAGACCCCGGAACTCGATCGTTTTGGTTGTGCAGCTGGCAAACATGAGAACGGGTGTGCCCCCCCCCACGACAGCACTGTCGCTAGTCCCTTGGCATCGGGATGGAGGGAGTCTCGCACTGGTACATTTGCCTCACTCATCGAGTGTATGCGAGCAGCAGCAATTCCATCAGTTGACATCGGCATCGCTGCAGAAACCATAAATATGTCGAGACAGATGTGAAGTAGCCATAGAGTGTTTCACAAATAAGCTGACATATCTACATTTCTGCTGCGATTGATCCCTCTCACCAAACCAATCTATGCCATGCGATGGACCAGCTGGCGCCGACATCAAGGAAATGAGCAACCTGCACTTTCCCGATACCTATTCGCGCAACTTCTTGGCCGACTGGACGGCCATCAACAGCGTCCGCAAGCCCATTATCGCGGCCGTCAATGGATATGCTGTGAGTCGACCTCCTTGACGTCGGGACCGATACTCCGCTACAGTTTTCCCGGTACAGATGCTGACATTGATGCTCATTTACGGTCCTGGGCTGGCAACAGCTTGGCGGTGGATGCGAACTTGCCATGATGTGTGACATCATCTATGCCGGCGAGAAGGCCAAGTTCGGCCAGCCCGAAATCACGCTCGGCACCATCCCGGGTGCTGGCGGAACGCAGCGTCTGACCCACGCCATTGGCAAATCCAAGGCTATGGAGCTCTGTCTGACGGGCGGCATGATCACGGCACAGGAGGCCGAGAAGTCGGGTCTGGTTGCTCGAGTCTTTCCTCCGGAGCAGCTGGTGGATGAAGCCATCAAGTCTGCCGAGAAGATTGCCTCCTTCTCGATCCCGATTACCATCATGGTCAAGGAAGCTGTCAACCACGGTACGATATTGAGGATGGGTGGGCTGGCCAGGCCACCGGGATGAGATGAGGCATCGGCGCGAATGACCTTGGGCTGCGAAGTGTGCGAGCACGGCCATAAGGAACTGTGCCTCGCCATGTTCTCTTGCTACTTTGGAGCTTCACGAATCATATTTAGGGCGCGTGTGCGTCATGAGAATTTCTGGTTGCGAGATCGCACCCTGATATGCACTAACTAAGTTATATTGGTGATGGGTTCCATTCCCTATCGATGGCAACGGCCCCACAGCTTACGAGCTGTCCCTTCAAGAAGGCTTGACCTTTGAGCGCCGACTCTTCCACAGCACCTTCGCCACGGTAGGCCATTCACTCCTGATATATTGTTGTTGTTGTTGCTGTTGTTGTTGATACGGGATGCTCATCGACATTCATTTGTTCATGCAGAACGACCAAAAAGAGGGCATGAAGGCCTTTGTCGAGAAGCGTGCACCCAAATTTACACACAACTAAGCGGTGCAGCTCGAGTGCTGTGGCTCTTGAACGAGCGAATACTGTCCTGCAACGCACATGCCATAGCGTAAATACAGCGATATCAATACGCATCATTCACTGCCCTCCCAAACAAGCCCGCAGCCTCGTCAGAGAGCCTTGGAGCAGCCAAGGGACAACCGACACAGTGTTGGGCGTTTGTCATTTCTGACTCTATTTGGCAAATCGGACACATGCCATCTGGACTGGCTCTTTGGCTCGCTCGTGCCGACGAACAGCTGGACGAACTCTTGTGGCGATGGCCGCCTGGAGTTGCGAGTGCGATCGCAGTTACAGTGGGGCTCTGACAGCGGGCGAGTGAGTGAGGCGTTTCCTACGACACGAAGCTGTATTTCCGCAGTGAACAACAATAGCCATCAACATTGGATTCGAAACTGGATCGATATCCAGGGTGGCTCGCTTTGGCGCGCCAGTCCAGACAAAAGAAAGGGAATGGTGTTGCGGATAGTGAATCGAGGAAAGTGTAACGGGCGACCTCGGTCGCTATTTAGGACTTTTCGAGGTCCACAAGGCCTTTTTCGACAAGATACTTGCAGATGGTCTGTAACAAGACGGCAGGTCCGGTCGGGTTTGATTTGGTTTGATTTGGTTTGGTCAGGATCGGCAATATCGGCAATATCGGCAAGCAAGGAAAGGTAACATCGGCAGTGGACGGTCAGCGCAAGAACTGCCCACACACACCAAAGAGCGCCGTGTACGAACGAAGTGATCTACCAACTACGACAAGGACTGCCCAGAGGAGCGCGCAGAGACACCGCCACTACCGTCACTGTCACTGTTACTGTTACTGCCATAGCCAGCGATGAATCCTCGTCTGTAAGCTCATGAGCAGCAGATGGAGTCATACCTCGACGGCTTCTTCGATGGTGACCTTATCGTTGCGGATGTGGATCTCGGGGTTCAGAGGAGCCTCATATGGAGCGTTGACGCCGGTGAAATCTGTACAGATCCACGTGAGACAGGGGGATTGTGAGGATGGGCTTGGACTCGGATAGGAGTTTGACAAAGCGCTGAAGAAGGCGCAATAATCACGATTGGAGCCGAGCGAAGCGAAACAACGAACCTTTGATCAGACCCTTGCGAGCCTTTTCGTAAAGACCCTTTGGATCCCGCTTCTCGGCAACCTCGATAGGGACATCGATGTAGACCTAAAATTCAGCAAAGAGAGGGTTGGTTGTCATATAGAGGAGCAACAGGGCCAACCAGCAGCATCAGCAGCAGCGGCGGCAGCGGCAGCGTAACTGGGACCAGAGCTGGGATCGGGTAAGAAGGGGGGGGAGCAAGCCAGCAAATCGATCGTACTTCAACAAACGGGATGCCAGCATCTTCATGCAGCTTGCGAGCCTGGTCCCGATCGGCGCGGTAAGGAGAGATGAACGAGGTCAGGGCGACATTGGTGGCATCGGCAAAGAGCTTGGCGACCTCGGAGATTCGTCGGATGTTTTCGGTGCGATCCTCGGGCGAAAAGGACAGATTCTTGTTGAGGCCAAATCGGATATTGTCGCCGTCGAGACGGTAGGCGGTGATGCCAAGGTGGACGAGGTGCTGCTCGAGGGCACAGGCCACGGTCGACTTGCCCGAGGCACTGAGGCCGGTGAACCAGATGGTCAGACCCCTCTGCTTGAGCAGACCCTCACGTTCCTCGCGCTTGAAGGCGCCGGCATGCCAGGTGATGTTTGTGGCCTTGATGGGGGCCTGAGGATCGTCGGATTTTTGTTCCTCGACCTTTGGCTTCTTGTTTGGGCTGGGATCGCTCATGGTGGCAAGCCGAGGGCGGTGTGATGGGGATGAGGGCGAGGGAGACGACGGACGAGGCAGATTGGTCAGGAAAGGGCGGCTCGCAAATCAAAGACGAGCACGACAGAGGGGGGGGCGATTGCGCATGGCTGCGCATGGCTGCGCACGTGCATGCGCAGCCATCTAGACTCGAGCCGGCTCGAGCTGGTTCGAGCGGGTTTGAGCCAGAGGAGCCGGAAAGGCGCGTGGCTTCTGTTTATGTGCCTGCCCGCGCCCCGCCGATTCGGCGTCAGTGTTTGTGTGCCTGGACAAAGCAGAGCCCAGGACGCGCGGGCACACAGCCGGGGACAGCCGGACTGCTGTGGCGCTGTGTGTGCGTGCGTGGTGGGCGCACAGCGGGAGTGGCACGCACAGAGAACGGCGCGGTCGCACCAGGAGGAGTCGCGACTGTGTGTGTTTGTGTGTCTGCATTTGTGTGTGTGTGTGTGTGTCTCTCTCTCTCTCTCTCTCTCTCTCTCTCTCTCTCTCTCTCTCACAAACACTCACAAACACTCTCCCATCCGCCCTCGCCTTCACCCTCGCCCTCGCCCTCTCGCCGCCGAATCTTCTCTCTCTTGTCGCCCTCAGGTTTGCGTCGTCCGCCGCTCATTCCCGCCCTCCCCACCGTTCCCTGCCCTCGTCCCATCCCGATCAGCCCCCCTCGCCCCGCTTGTCCTCCTGCCAGCTCGCCGTCGACCCTGTCCTGCCTGTGTCGGCTCTGCCCCACCGATCCTCTTGCCCACGCCCTGTCTCGGTGCATGGCGCTTCCCTAGCTGCCGGCACTCTCTCCCTTCTTTGCGATCGTCCGATGCCTGGTCCACAAATGTACAACTCAACATCAACCCCCGTCCACTTCAGCTTCGGCCGCCAGGTCAACATCTACGATACGATCTGGTTAATGGTAGTTCTCGACCTGCTTCTTGTCTTTTTTTTTCATTTTCTTTTCTACTTTTCAATCCCGATGCTTGGCCTTGATTCTGTCTCAATGTCCGTCGATTACCGTCGGTGCTTATCCGCCAGCCACACTCCTTCTGGCGCCCGCGGCATCGCCGAAACCACCCTCTCAACTCTTGGAGTTAACTTTCTCGACGGCTTGTCTCCATCCGCAAACGAGTGCCTGCATCGCTCGCCTGTTCAAGCCCGTACCGTCCATCCGCTAGCCGCTGGTCGACAGCTTTATCCATTGACGCTTTTCCCTCCTTCCCCCATTGCCCAGATCTGTACTGGCGGCGTCCTGCTGGTGGTAAATAACTCGTTGGAAACCTCTTTCTCTGGCGACCGGAAATCGTGGCGCCGTCGACTCTATCGTTTCGCCCAATGGAGTCCCCCAAACATCCTCCTCACTCCCGCCTCAGGGAGCTTCCCCAGAGAGAGTGAGGGCCCTGGGTCGTTAAACTGGGCAATAGACAATGTCATACTGATAAAGCTTCATCTCGTCCCCAATCCCTTGCAGTCGCCGGCCTGTGGAATGTTCTATGCAGGAACCGCGGAATACAAGAACGTCATCTCCATTCTGCTGCAAAGCATCATCATCTTCGCCACTATTACCCTCCAGTGGTGGGCATATGGATACAGGTATGTCCCTCGTTCTCGCCGCCGTGTCGGCCAGCTCTGCTTCCTTGTGAGGCCCTCGATCAGCACCCTCATCTGACCGCCAATGACTTTCTTGCATTTGACTTCATGGCTTTGTCCCCCCCCCAATCCACCGGGCTGCTCAACTGTCGCCTCTGTGCTGCGTCGTCCAGCCTGGCGCTGTCTCCACGGAGCACAAATCCCATCATTGGTGATTTTGGTACGTCCCGTATCAACCCATCGACTGGCCCACCAAACAATCGCCACTCATCGCACTCGACCATCTATATCTCGCTGAATCTGTGGCGGTACCTGTTGTCGGATCAGTTGATGCAGCCGCCATATGCCAATCACTCACACATCCGTATAACCGTGCTCTCTCACTTGTATACGCCCTCCCTCGATCCCATTCGCACGACACCGCTTCCCATGTCCTCACGGTGGCTTTCGACTTGCAGTCGACGCTGGATTCGAGACCTTGCTTCTGTCGGATTCGAGCCATATCCACGCCCCCTCGCTACCGTCGCTCGGATACGCCCTCTACCAGGGCATGTTTGCCGCAGGTTTGCATTAGCTCAAACGGCATCGAGGAGGGGATGCTGCCAAGCCTGGATGTGCTGAGCGGCAGAGCTATTCGTCCATGTTATGATTCCAACCCCTCTACAGCCACGCTTTGATCTAGCTCCCATGTTATGTGATGTCTTTGCTGCTGAAAAACGTCTCCCCTCCCTCTTTGCAACCTTGATGTCTTGCGCGCCGACTCGATTGGACCATTGATATATCCTTCAATCTCGGTATTCCATCTAGCAACGGCCTCAATTCTCTATGGTGCAGCCGTCGAACGCGTCCGCATTCTGCCGCTGATCGTCTTTATTCTGATATGGACGACATTTGTCTATGATCCGGTCACATATTGGGTGTGGGCTCCCAATGGATGGCTCATCGAAATCTTTGACTTTTTGGACTTTGGTTCGTAGCGCAATCGATATTGGTCTTGATGTCTACACTGGCACTAGAGAGCCTCCTACTCGGCTATGACCATAATCTTTGTCGCACCCGATGCCGTCCGGTGTCTTACCCGAGCCTCTTTCGTTGGCTTTTTCTTTTCTCTTTCTCCGCCGTTGATTTGTCTAGCCGGAGGGGCTCCCGTTCACATCGTCTCTGGATTCTCCGGCCTTGCCCTTTGCCTCGCCGTGGGGCCGCGAAAGAACCCTAACCTCACCCCCACGAGCCTGCCCCTCATGTTTACGGGCACGGTGCTGATGTGGTTCGGATGGCTATTTTTCAACGGAGGAAGTAGCTTTTCGGTGGCTCCGCGTGCCCTGATAGCCATGCTCAACACCTCACTCGGTGCTGCTACCGGCGGATTGACATGGGTGCTGTTCGGTAAGTCCCATCGCCCTTAAACAGCAGCCGCTGGTGCTTCGGTCTCATAGCTCGGCTGCCACAACCTTTAGCCAGCAGTTAATCCGCAGAGCGTCTACTGCACTCGACCCGGTGGCTGGAGGCTCAAGGTCTCTTTGACGATTGTCATGCTCCACTAACTCTCCACCTTTCCCCTCATGCACCACCCATCGTATCAAGATTATCGAATCCATAAGAAGCACACCACACTTGGGTTCTGCTCAGGAGTAGTGGCCGGACTGGCATGCATCACTCCTGCATCGGGCTATGTCTTTCCACACTTTGCCGTCCTCTTTGGCCTGATAGGCTCGCTATGTGCCAACATGGGATGCTTCATCAAGAGCTACTTCCAATACGACGACACGATGGATACGTTTCCAGTCCACGGCATCTCAGGGGCAGTTGGATCGCTTCTGACAGGCATTTTCGCATCCGTCCGCTTGGTGAACCAAGATCCACGCAACATTCCGATACACCCGCCAATGTCGTTCCTCCTTGGTGGAGCAATAGACGGGAATTGGATGCAAGTACCGAAGCAACTCTTGGGCATCAGCGCATGTGCCACCTGGAGCTTCTTCATGACGTTTGCCATCGCCAAGTTGATGGAAAGGATTCCGGCTCTCAGTTTGAGAGTCTCCCCCGTCGTCGAGGCCGCGTAAGTAATCGAGATGGGAGCATCGTGAGGGCACCATGGGTCACTGGTGCTACGTGCATGTGGTGAAAGCTCCATATAGGCGTTGATACTATCGGGTGGACGGAGGAAGCGATGTGGTCTACCCACCACTGGTGCTCCATGACTCCTCCAGAGCAATGTGCTCACGCTAGGTTGAGTCGCAGTTTCGCATCGTCACTTGACCCGGCAGTCATTGTGTGCGCAACTACTCCTTGATACCGTTGTGGGCGCAACGCGATCATATTATCACGACTGACCCGGGTCTCATTTACCGTCCCTCACGAATCATCAGTGGTCTGGACATTTCCCTGTGTGGAGAAGCTGCCTATGATTTCACTCATTCAGCCGTCAAGGACTCCTTGAACGAATTCGATCTGCGAACTTATGTATCATAGCAAAGCCGCGTCCTGTCGCATTCCCTCGATCCCTCTCCTCTCTTCACCCCTCCCTCTCCATCCCTCTCGAACGACCTGGCTCCAGCTCTCTCCTCGACGACTCGTCTCGGTTCGACAGATCAAAAGCGATTCCGGCCGTCCGGTCATCCACACAGAGGTCGATCTTCCTTCATTGACACCGTCGCCGTGCCCCTCATCAGAGACCAAGGAATCCGGTTGACCCAATTTTGCCACAGCAGAATGGACATATGTCTGTGTATGCTTCCTTCCTGATGCTGCTGATGTTGCTTGTCTGCAGATTATATTGTCAGCGCATCAATCGGCTACTCGTTGCCTCAGCCCACCAATTATCGTTGCCTTTTGTTGCTCATGCATGCAATAGAGTCAGGCACTCTGGCATGAACTTATAGCCAATACAATAAAAAACGGGACACCCCGGATTTTGGTCGTTGAACAAATACGTTGTTGCCTCAACACATCGCGCTGGCCATGACCATTCTGTGATGTGTTTCTGGATCTGAATCAGGGACACTGTCTCGCACAGATGGTTCACCGCAAGCCAAAGACCACCCAGGCGACCAAGTGGATCCAGAGCACCCACAAGATACTTGGTCTGCAGCAATGGATGAGCGCCACACCAAGTCCCAAGATCCCCGGGGTGGCTTCCTTCCTGCAATACATTCGCCATGTACTCGATGGAGACATGCTGGACAAACAGCTGCACTCCAGCCTGGCCCGGCGACGGCTATTCAAGCGACCCGATCTCCAGGTGTGCTCACAGTGCTGGGAAGCCGAGCGGCTCGGGAAGGCCGAGTATCTTGATATCGATACACCATGGAGTTATCCAGAGGGTCGAGTGAATGCATCGCACTCCCACATCGAGTGAATGCATCGCACTCCCACATCGAGTGAATGCATCGCACTCCCACATCAACTGGATGCACCACACTCCCACATCGACACATGAGATCGACCGAGTGTATTCACGACCGTGCTTCCCAAACCAACGAAATCAAAGAGATTGCCAACCAGGACGGGAAACAATCGCATGGCTTGCCCACTAGAGCCTGATGCCTGGTCGGACCTGCACCTGAGCAAACGACGGCGCTTCCAGCAACTCGATCTCTGTGGCAATCGACTGCGCTCTATCCAGCATGTGCTGAATGGCCTTTGACCAGTCGCCATGATGTTAGCCATCCCAGAGAGCGGACGTGCCAGCAAGCCCTGGGCCAGAGTGATGCCTAAAGTCACGTGCGCGTTGGAAAGCGAGAGGGAAAGGGCAACGGCGTTCCTGGGCCGGCCTTCCCTTCGCTGGAGCTCCAGCGAGACCAAGCCGCCTCTCGCCCGACATCTCCCGCACGGAGGATGGATCCAGCTCCCGATGGCCTGGCCATCAAGAAACTCAAACTCGAGGTCCAATACAATCCCCGTGAAGCCGAAATTGTCGGGTCCCAAATGCCACTCGACCAACCACAGATCTTCTCTGGTCTTGCGCAAATATCATCAGAACAGCCGCGATGGCAGACATTCGATCGGCGAAAGTCCTGGAGGCCCAAGCCATTTCGGCCGAAAGCCTCTGCTGACCAACAATTGATCAAGACAATGCTTAGGATTGTGCCAAAATGGCATCAATCGTTTGATGAACACACAACGATCCTCATTCCAGGCGGGATACAGAGCAAACCCCGGCCGACAACCTTCCATAAAAAACATGGGCTTGCAGCATTTACGGTTGGGAATGAGCATGGGCGGCTGATTAGCTGTAACATTTCAACTGGGGTGAGTCGTTCGTGCTTGTTCGATCCATACAAGTCCAAATGTGATCGCTGCCGATGTCGGAGCATGGCTTTCGATACCTGGCTTTCGATGCCAAACCCCATCCAGCCGTGCCTAACTAGACTCGGGATGATCGATCAACAGAAAACGGATTCCCAATTTGAGACAAAGGGCTGCACCATCACCTGTGCATCCTTTTGCCAAGTGTTCCCCCACAGCTCCTTGACCATGGCCACCGGCCACGCAGACGGAACAATAACGCTGATTTCCAAGAGCCAGATATCCTCCAAACTAAGCCTGGGCTCTGCCATCACCACAATCACCACCAACATTAATATGGGTATGTTTATATGTTGAATAGTCGGTGGTAGCGGGAGACTGGGTTGTTACGCAGAGGAAAATATCCAAGAGAACTTCAACCAGGACAAGAAATGGTGGCCAGATATGGTATTACGAACTAAAACAGCGCTCCTGTTACATATTATATTAGCGGGTCATCCCTATCTTTTAGCTGGCGATGCTCGTGGAGCGATGGTGGCCTTCGATGCCTTCCAAATCCTCTGGAGATGCCAAGCAGGCGGATTATTTTCTGTTCTGGATGAGGATGTATGTCGGCAACGGCAGCCACTTCTGAAATCATGAATTGAAAGCTGGTTCCGATCGCAGAGACCAGCTGTCCGTATTGACTCGGCATTTCGTCTATAGGAACCCATCTTCTCTCCATCGATCCGATGTCTTATGCCCATCGATCTGCCAGACTCTGGCGATACCTCGACGAGCTTTATACTGCTCTGCGATGGTTCACCATTTCTCCACTTTTATGTCGAAGGAAACCGCGTACTCTCCAAGGCACTACCGAGTCCAATCGTTTCGGTATGCTGACGGAACTATTTCAGAGCTTCTCAGAGATTGTCATGAGCAACAACGGATGATTTATGTCCGGGGACAGGGTGGGCTGTAGTATTATCGACCAACTTCGCCCTCCCCCATGTCGATCTTCGCAGTTGACGAAGGGGCGGTTCGCATCATCGGACACGAGCGAATCGTCGCAACAATGGCCGCAAGTGATGATGGCTGGCGAGGACGGTGCCATCTATATTCTTGAAAAAAACGAGGTTCGACAATTCGCAGCAATCCATGATGAATAGTCGGGATATCGACGAGGGCAGTTGAGGCATGAGATTAATGAATGGTGAGTCCTATATTAACGCTCCCGTGCCATTATCACATCCCCAGATTTACTTGTACAATCAAGTCGATGAGAGCATCACTGCCATCCAAGCCGTTCCCGCTCCCGGATCAAAATTTGACTATCTGGCAGTTGGTGGAAACTTTGAAGAGATAAGGCTATATCACCAGTGTCAGGTATACTGCTGCGACAATAATCAGAGACAATCCGATTTGGAGCTTCATGAAGATTGGATCCCTCAGCTGAGAAGTGATCAATTATTTCATTAGGTTCATTACACAATTCCGACCGGCGATTGGGTTCTGCAATTACAAACTGTGGCAAATGACCGTGACCAAATGGTTCTAGCATTGCTGGTGAATGGAAGTGTTCATGGATACGGAATTCACGGCCCAGAAGAAGGGATGAAGCTGGATCCAACAGATATGGAGCTCGATCAAACGTCGAGTAAGAACGAAACAAATATCCATATCGATGATACCGAATATGAATGCGCTCCAGACGATGATGGGCTATTGGAGATAATGGAAGAACAAACACAAGCAATTCCAGATGCTGGTGAGCGATCTGGTGGGCGACCTGCGACGATTGATGGAGAACGATCAAATCGCCAGGACGAAGAGGAGGGAGAAATTTCGGAGGAGGAGGAAGGCGAGATAAGCGAATGAAGTTTCGATCAATATAAATAAAAGTCAGAACACTCGATCAAAGCTACTCGAACAAGTGGAGGCTGTCACATTTGGTCACGTTTCGATGTTGAAGAGCAGGTCAGCCTCGTTTCCAGAGCAAACTTTGGAGACACACCGCCAACATGGTACATGCAGGGGAGCACAGCTCGAGCAAACCAATCGTGGAGAGAGTGATGGGTACAGTAGCACGTGCATCGAACAGTCGATAGCGGAGGAAAGAGAAACATATCATTTCAAATGATAAAGGAAGAGTAAGTACGGATAAAAGTGGTATTCTATGTTGATTCTCGTATAAGGACAGTCGGTGGGATACTGCTATGGTCCGGATGGGTGCGACTGGATACGATGACGAGACGATGTGTAAGCAAGGTATGGCGCCAAGGCCTTGATAGCCCAGAAGCCGGGAGGGGGAGACGAATTTATTCTTGGCTATCGAAGGAGTGGCGGGGAAGTCAGCCACGGAATATCGAACGAGGAAGCAGAGAGCATTATTTTTCCCAGGAGCGGCACCATACCAAACAACACGACCCAGGAGAATAAAAATAAAATAAAATAAAAGATTCGAAATTTGAGCCACGAATGAAGAAAAAATGAGGAGAGAGGGGAAAGAGGGCTAATGTTCCCACTGGACGGGTCAGCAAAAATACGCTCCTAGGTGGGCTCGAACCACCAACCTTCCGGTTAACAGCCGAACGCGCTAGCCAATTGCGCCATAGGAGCCAATCGCCCAACGTGGGGGTCGAACCCACAACCTTGAGATTAAGAGTCTCACGCTCTACCGATTGAGCTAGCCGGGCAGTGAAAGTGGAGAATCGGGGTATCGATCCCCGTGCCTCTCGCATGCTAAGCGAGCGCTCTACCATCTGAGCTAATTCCCCCAGGTTTGCCCCGATCTCGTTATCGAGTGTTCCGCGGACGCACCTTTTGAATTACTGCCCTCCCATTGCCTACCAACCTAACCAACCCGGTATCAACCATGCCCCCCGACGACTCGCCTGCCCCCGAAATGGCCGTAGACGTCCATGACAGTGTCCCTGGACCCTCCAGAGCACCCCCTGAGGCCCAAACTCAGCCCGAAACAATCGATCTCACGGATCAGCTGTCATGAACACCCTCTGCCTTTGCCCTCTTCCTTCCTTTGCCTTTGCCCTTTCCTTTCTGTTTGCCTGTCTTAGTGCTTTCCCTTCCTTCTGTTTGTTTGTTTCCCGCGCCGTGCTGCCTTGTTGTCTTCCCGCCAGCACGCGCGCTGCCTGTGTTCCGTTCCCGCTCCCTTGCTGTTGGTCATGGGTTACGCCCACGACGCCGCCTCGACGCCGCCTGACGCCTTGGCGCCGCCATGCCGCCGCCACTGACGCCCGCTGACTCACGGATCCCGAGTCACGGCCGCCACCTGCTTCGCTCGCTGCTTCGCCCTCCCCGCCGCTGCTTCGCTCCTGCCCCCTCGCTCTGCAGCGTCGATCCTTGGCGCTCGCATAAATAGCCCTCCGACCAGCCTCTGTCTTTTGCCTTCGTCTTGCCACTTTGTATTTTTAGTATCCTAAGCCTTGGATCTAGAATAAAACTTTGGCTTCACACTTGACACTCTGTGTCCCAGTCCAGTCCCCGCTCCTCTCCCTACGTTCGAGTCTTGCATTAGGACTCTTGCGCACTTCCCTGCTTGCCCCGTTGTCCAGTCTTGACAGAGCCCGAGCTCCAGGCCATCCGTGCGGTCATTATCCAGTCCGCCGAGAACGCCCGTTCTCTCCAGGACTTTTCCAAGTTTCTCCACGATCAGGATGATGCGCTCAACCGCATCACCGATCGTATGGACCAGGTCCTGGCTCGCCGTGAAGAGGATGTCCGCCAAGTTGTCGCCGCCAGTGTCCAGGAGGCCCTCCGCAGCTACCAGGCCCAGCTACCTCCTCCTGCTCCCGCTCCCGCCCCGATCCGTCGTGCAGGTCGCCCCTACTTCGGCGTACCTGACGACGTCGATGATCCTGCCCAAGACCCTGTGATGATCATGCACGTTGGGAACACGTGTGGACTGCTGCGCGTGATGCACCGTGAGTCATGTTTGTTTGTCTTGGCGTGTATTCCCTGATTGGCTGGCGCCGATGACTCTTACTTCGCCTCCGACTGCGCTGTGCTTCGCCCCTCTCTCTAGCAGCTCCGCCTCCCTCGCACCCCCATCTCGTCCCTCGTTTGTCGCTCCACCCCTCTCGCCCACTTTCGCCCTTCGGTTTCCCTCTTGGCTATAAAGCCCCTCCTTTCTTGCACCCATTTTGTATCTGCAGTTCGAACAACACTTGTTGTTATCTGATAAGTCGTAATATAGCTTATCGTTGTTCGCCAAGCACCTGGTCGTCCAGTGTCGTTGCTTGTCGTGGTCCTCACATATTGTTCGAACTCCCTCTCTCTGTCTGACCACCTGCTTGGCTGAGGCTTCGTTGCTGCCCTCATCCTTCTATTCTCTGTTGTCTTCCCTGCATCCTCGCTCCCCACTTTCAAAGCCCACATGGACCAACTCCAGGCCCAAATCGTTGCCCTCCAGGAGGAACTGGTTCTCCTCCGGACCACACATTCTTCCGCCGCCCCACAGCTCCCGCACATGCCGACCCCGGACAAGTTCGACGGCACCAGGTCAAAGTTCCGCCCCTTCGTCAACCAGTGCCGCCTGCTCATGATGCTCCAGGCATCCAGGTTCCCGTCCGAGCAAGTCAAGGTGGGTTACGTCTTGAGTTTGCTCACTGGTCCGGCCCTCCAGTGGGCGACTCCCTTGATCGAGTCGAACGATCAAATCCTGCACTCGTTCGACTCGTTCATGGAACGCTTTCGCCAAGCGTTTGACGATCCCGACCGCACCCACACTGCCGAGCTGCTCCTTTCCTCCATGGCACAGGGCAACCGCTCGTGCATGGATTATGCCTCAGAGTTCCTCCGCGTTGCCGCCGACCTTCCCTGGAACGACGAAGCCAAGATCTCCGCCTTCCGCCGTGGCCTGTCGAGGGAGATCAAGCAGCGCCTCTCCTTCATCGACCCTCTCCCTCTCCGCTTGGTCCCGTTCGTCGAGCGTTGCCTCAAGATCGATGCACGCATCATCGAGCTCAACAACGAGCTCCGAAACACTGGCCCTGTTTCCTTCGGCACCCAGGCCTTCAACTCCCGCACCCCGTCCTTCCAGCCGCCCGCCCAGGAGCCTCCGGTTCTCTACTCCGAGCCGATGCAGATCGACGCCGCCGTCGTCAGCCGCCTGACCCCCGAGGAGAAGAACCGCCGCTTCCAGGAGCGCCTCTGCTTCCGCTGTGGCAAGCCCGGCCACGTCGCCAAGTCCTGCCCCCTCAAGTCCGGCTCCCGTGCTCCCGCCTCTGGTTCCCGCTTCCCCGGCTCCCGTCCTCAGGCTCCCGGCTCCCGTCCCCGTTCGAAGGTTGTCCGAACCATCGTCTACGATGATGGTGAGGAGGAACACTTCGAGTCGGGAAACGACCAGGCCCAGATCTAAGTGGAGGCTTAGATCTGGAGCCGTCTCCCCTTCCTCCAGAAGCAAGCGTCGATGGTAAGGAGCATGAGGTAAGTGTCGAACGCATGGCTATGTGTGGAATGATCAATGTAGTCGGTGGTGGATCGCACTCTGTCAAACCCGCCTCTTCTAAGGGCACATCTGGCTCCCAGATGTCTTTGACAGAGCTCCCGATCTCCACACCACCTGCGAACTTGGTCATCTGCTCGAACCATGCTGCCGACACTGATCTCTGCTCCGAGCCTTCTTTGTGCGTCTCGTCGATTTCTTCGTCTTCTCCCGTTTTCTCCGCTTCTCTTGTTCTCCCTTCTGGTCGCTCCCTCTCTTGCCAACTTCTCGTCGATTCTGGTGCCTCCGGCAACTTCATCGACGAGAGCTTTGTTGACCGCTTCTCGGTCCCCCTCGTTTCCAAATCCACTCCCCTCCCTGTCCAAGGTGTCGATGGCCAGCCACTTTCTTCCGGCCCCATCACTTTTGAGACGGAACCCCTCAAGATTGTTCTTGGGGACTACACTCAACACCTTTCCTTTGATGTCATTAAGTCTCCCCACCAACCTGTTATCCTTGGCTATCCCTGGCTGCAGTCCATCGAACCCAGGTTCCACTGGGCTCGTGGACTCCTTTGCCTTCCCCGTCCTGCAAACCACATCCTCAAGGTTGTGGATGCCTCTTCCCTCCCTTCCGTTTCTTCCGTTTCTCCTTCTCCCCTTCCTCTTGTTGGCGACACACCCAATGTTTTCCCTCGTGCCTCTACCGACACCACTGTGGTGCTCGCTTCTTCGCCTCGCACCGTTTGTACTCGCGAAGATGATCAGAATAAAGTGATCGCTCAACGTTATTCTGATTGTGTTCCGAGTGAGGTGCCCTGTTCCTGTGCTGCTCGTCCTGGTCCCTCCGGTCTCGTCTCCGTCCGTCCTGGTCTCCCCGGTCCCGTTGCTCCCAGCCCCGCTCCTGTCCGTGTCCAAGCGATCAGGTACAAGTCGTTGGAGCAGTCCGTCCTCGACACACAGTCTAGCCCCGACCCCCTGACTGTGTTCCAAGTCCTCGTCCTTCCTGCCACCGATCCGGATCCGACGCCCCTCTCGACGTCGATCCCCGAGGAGTACAAGTCGTTTGGCTCAGTCTTCTCGAAGCAGGAAGCCGATTCGTTGCCCCCGCACCGGACGTACGACTGCCCGATCGACCTGGAGCCCGGCAAGACCCCCAAGTTCGGACCGCTCTACTCCCTGTCAGAGCCCGAACTCAAGGCCCTTCGTGAATACCTCGACGACAACCTCGTCAAAGGGTTCATCCGTCCTTCGTCCTCTCCCGCCGGTTCTCCGATCCTTTTCGTC